GGTATTGCCACCGACCCCGAAAATAATGATTGCGTCTGCTCATGGCCGACCCGCATGTCGGTGGGGGAGGTCAGAAGCTTTATCGGTTTTGTATCCTATTACTGACGATTTTTTGCGGGGTTTGCTTCCATCGCCAAACCCCTCCATGTGCTGATGGCCAAGGGTGTCAAGTTCCACTGGGGCAAGGAGGAGGAGGATGCATTTAATTCACTGCGAAATGGATTGGTGAATGCCCCACCACTGAGCTACCCAGATTTTTTGTTGCCCTTCATTCTTGACACAGATGCGAGTAATACCGGCATCGGGGGCATTTTGTCGCAAGGCATTGATGGGGTTGAGCGAGTTATTGCTTATGGTAGCCAGGTATTGTCTCCAGTGGAGCAATGGTATTGTGTGACATGTCGCGAACTGTTAGCGATAGTCTTTTTCGTCCAACAATACCGACCTTACTTGTAAACTAGTCCTGAATACCTCCAAAACCAAGGTGCAATGCTTCTCACCAGGACTAAAGCAGGACGTTATTTTTCCACATTTATATTCAAAAACTAATGATGAAATAGAGCAAGTCAAGATCTATAAGTATATTGGGGTCATCCTTGATTAAAAATATGATTTTCAAGAACACATTGATTATATTGGTAAAAAGACAAAAATAAATATTGGTTTTCTGTATCGACACAAACACTGTTTTCCACCTATGTTCCGTTTGGAATTGATAAAAGCTACCATGCCTCTACTTGATTACTGTGACATCGTATATAAGTTAGAATCCAGTACTGTTCTGAAGAAGCTTGACTCAATATATCACTCGGCCTTAAGATTTTCATTGAACTGTCCATATAGGACCCACCATTGCGATCTCTACATTGGGTCAAACTTAACATATCTTAATGATCGATGGCTTATGGATCAGATATTATTTATTTATGATGTACTTACAAAAAAATCCGCAGATTACCTGCTGGAGCTAAGATCTTAGCTCATTTACCAGCTTCGCATTCCTTATTGCCTTTGCTATAGATGCCCCCAGGGTCTGGAATGCTATCGCAAATAAACTCCAGCTTGGACCACTACCTACAAGACCATCACTCAAAACTTCTCTAGAGGAGTTGTACAACCCTAGCTGCCACTGCTATCCAGTGGCCTGAAATCAAATATATAGCTATAGATGACCAATGCGAGAAATTATCATGTATTTTGATTATAGTGTGCTGCTACTATTATTGTTACTCCTGCATTTATGGATTGACTCATGCAGCTAGCGAAGGATGTTAGGTTTAGTAATATATGTTATGTATGTCGCTATTGTTAATTTTCAATCACATTTCTTATGATCACTGTTACATTGTTTTTATAGCATTATTTTAGTAATTTCTAGAAAGGTTTAGTTTAGCCCGAATTTTATATAGTATAGAGTTAGACTAAAATTTTTAATATAAATTGTATTATGATTGTTATTGTGATCACACATCAAAATGGGATTTTTTTGCACATTTTTGTACGCAGCATAAACAAATGGTGCTTTTTCTGGAAGATTTAATTGTTTTTGTAGGGGATGTTTAAATTTGCGTACAGTAAATTTTAAATGTATCTTGTAATGTTATTGTTTTGTTGCGGTTGCACCTGAATCAAGAGCCGAATGGCTCACAGGGTTATTCCAAATAAATGAAACTGAAAACTGTATGGGAGGAATTTCACTGTTCGTTCCGATCACGCCGCCCTTCAATACGCGCTGCGAGTAGACCAGCAATCAGGTCAACTCTCGCGCTGGCTGGAAAGCCTGCAAGACTACGCATCCACTGGCAAATATTGTAAGGGTACCCAGCACTGTAATGTTTTGTGCGCCTGCCAACGGCGAACAGGTGTGCATGCTTCCTAGGATCGGGTCACTGTAGGCAGCCGATTGATGATTTGCCCAAGCACCTCCCTGCGACGGCCAAGACAGGTCCTTGGGTGGGCCCTGAGGGTGTGCTCCCCCAGGATTTGCTGCTCGGTCTGACGCGTGACGATTGGGGTCGCCTCCAAGTGGAGGATGTTTCGCTCCTTAAGTTTCGCCGTCGGGCTAGGAAGCCTGCGGAAGGGGATGACTGCGATGGCCTCGTGGTCTTTGTTTTGCGTGACGACCTTTTAATGTCATGGGATGACAGCCTACGACAATACACGATCGTTGTACCCACCGTGCTGCGGGGTAAAGCCGTCTGGGCCATGCATGAACGTCTCCTGCATCTAGCGGTGCACAAGACACTGGCCACACTCCAATTTAATTTTTATGGGCCCAGAATGGCCAAAGACGTAGCAAATTTGCTGCAGGGCTGCACTCACTGCGCGCAACAGAAGCCGCCTGCCTGGCCAATTTTCCCTCCTCTGCAGTTCATCCAGGTGACTCGTATCAACGAGCTTGTTGCCTTGGATGTCCTTGGTCCCTTTCCGGCCATCCCCGAGGTAACAAGTACCTGCTGATTGGAGTGGAATATTTCACCTGTTGGCCAATGGCATGGCCGCTTCCCAAACAGTCGGCAGCAACCATCGTCGAGGCCTTTGTCCAGGGCTATGTCCTGGACAAGTCTACAGGAAAGCCACCCACACAGATTCCTATCTGAAACCTGATTCCCACCACCATCCGCCCCAGAAGAATTCCCTGGTCAAAACACTACAGCATAGGGCCCACTGCATTTCTGACCAACACCACCTAGCCAGTGAACTGGGAACACGTACACCAGGCCCTCAAGATGAATGGGTACTCGGACCGCATTATTCGCAAAGCTGTTTCTCCAACCATGGAGAAACAATCCCCTGAGAAGCCAATCAAAACCATCACTTTACCATACATAGCAGGTGTTACCAAAAATATTTCCAAAATCTTAAAGAAACACAAGATCCAGGTCCGATTCAATACAGTACACAAAATCTATGATCTAATCCCATCTGTGAAGGAGGTCATTCCTGACATGCAATATCCTGGAGTCTACAAACTGAGTTGTACCTGCGCTAACAGTTACATTGGGGAAACGAAACGACATGTCTCGGACCGTGTTCACGAACACAAGGCAGATCTGAAACACGGCAGAACCAATACCTCTGCTATGGCTGACCATTGTTATAATGCTGTGGGCTCGCATGATATTGTTTTTTTCCGAGACCAAGGTACTCTGCAAACCTTCGGGCAACTATCAAAGGTTTGTTCATGAAGCCATCCAGATATATAAACATAGACATAACTTCAACCGAGAAGATGGATACAAATTGAGCAATCATTGGAAGGATGTTATAACCAGGTAAAGCCTTAACTGGTTGTGGTTGTTTCCATCATGCCCGCCGGGTACTAGTAGATTTTTCCGAGTTATTTTCCCCCCGTGTCCCACAACCAGCTTCCCACTTCTAGCCCCACCACGGCAGCTCTCTCGCCTACTTTAGCATTTTTCTTGCTGTGGTTGTTCCACCTGATGAAGATTGCTTGTGTTGCGATCGAAACGTCGTGATTTGCTTTATTTTATTTTATTTCTATCTACGTGACCTTACCGAAAGAACCAAAGAGTAATTTTTAGCCTGTTGATGATCGGCGATGCGGCAATCGACTCATCTCGACGAGCTGTACACGATGCACCACTATGGTGCATACGCGAGCGTTCAGGGTTTCAGCGCAATTATCCTCGCTGTATTATTTCGACATCGCGGAGTAGCACCGATTTCGGATTTATTGGTACCTCAGTCGTAGAGTTAAGTTCACCCCTGGAAAAAAGTGTCCCAGAAATAAAATATTTAATTGCCTCGGCCATTTTGTATTATTTGGTACCCGGTGGTGCCGCCATAAGGATCACATTTGCACGCGATGGGCCACTTTGTTGACCTATTATCATTTGTCGTAGCCAGGTTGCTTCTGAAAAATACCACATAAGGCCCACGGAGGTATTAACTTATCAAATATATCGTTTATTTTTATAGTGATTTGTTTACCTTTCCTATACTTTGCACGCCTGTTGTGTTTTCGTATTGTTGTTATAACGTTCTGACCCGCCCAGACTTTACATATGTGAAAAAAGACCTGTATAGCTCATCGGATTCCACCTCCGGTATAAATTCATATTTTGATTCTGATTAAGAACCACGGTCGCGGGCACCACGCCATGCTGCTACGTTCGAACGCCAGCCACGGACAGCAGAGAAGTCGCCCGAGAGGAAGAGCCTTGAGAGATGGAGCGACAAAATTGGATCAACGTTCAAATGCCAGACGGATTGTCACCTGGCGGGGCCGTGAGGGATGACGATGGCTTGTGGAGGCCTTCATCCAGCAGTGGGTAGAGCATGGATGATGATAGAGTATAGGATAAAATGTGATCTAATGCAGTATGCACGGTCCTGTGATGATGCTATGGAAGGGCGAGAGAGCTAACGTGTGCTAATGGCTGCATCAACCATGGGAGAACCAAGACAACGATCTCCCGTGTAGACTTAACAGACTGTTTGGGGCAAGTGCTGTTAGCAAGCACCTACTTACTCACCAACTCACATGCTCATCCATTCTGTCACCCACTCACCCTCTCACCCAACCACTCACTCAACCACTCACTTATCCACTCACTCACTCTCTCACTCCTTACCCACCCATCCTCTAACCAACTCACCTTCTCGCTCACCCAATCTCTCATTCCCAAATTCATCCCCCCACCGAATTACCCTCTCAATCAATCGCCCACTCAACCACCCCCTCGCTCACTTCGTAGAAGGCTTACCGATATTCCCAGCACAGCAGCCGCCTACAACAGGAGACCGACGATCCTGGGACCCGCACCTCCCGATTCGTATGGTTGGCTACGTACGTCACCAAAAATGTTCAACATTCATACGGTACATACATACAAATCGGGGACGGGTGGGAGCCACGAGGCGCGTAGCGGGGAGACGAGCAGGGGGAGGTGCGCAGGAGGAGAGGAGGAGGGGGGAGAAAGGGGGGGAGGAGGAGGGGGCAAAGGGGGGGAGGAGGAGGAGGGAGGGGTCATCACCGCGTCGTCGCCCAGCGCTACGGCGAGCTTGAGCGGCGTGTAGCCCTCGGAGTTGGCGAGGCTTTCGATCTGGCACCACTCGTCGGGCTGCACCAGCTCGGAGAGCAGGTCGTACATGGAGCGCACCATCTCGGCATCGTGGTGCTGCACCAGCACGTGCAGCACCGAGTTCCCTGCGCACAACGCGGAACGCACCGCGCGCCCAGGGGCTTCGTCTCATGCGCCGTGCCGGCCCCTCATAGGCGCTGCTCGCTAACAGCATGTGCCCCAGAGAGTTTGTAAAGCCTATACGGGGATCTTTGTCTTTGTAACTGCTCGATCTCAGTCCATGGATGTGCTTGTGAGCCTTTGGGCGGCAGGGTGGCGCTCAGGTGGTAATGCTGTACTTGTGCCTCACAGTAGGAAGGTAGCTGGGTTCGATTCCCGTCTCAGGCACCTTTTCCGTGTGGAGATTGTATGCTCTCCCCTCGGGTCTGCATGGGTCTCATCCCATAGCTACAGGTGTACAATGAAAGCGGCATTGGCCAAAAATCCCATTGCTCAGAGTCATTCACTCAATTGTGATCATGCGCGGCATCAACATCGCCACCTACTGCGAAAACTTGGCAGGACCCTCATGAATAAAGAGTCTTGAGACTCCGGGTGACGCTTTCCTCGTTAAGTAAGCGTCGCAGCGATAACGACAATAATAATGATAACAAATTAAAAAAATATTCTGGTCTATACGCATCTGTGTGATGTAGGATGACTGAAGCCGTATTCACGGGCGGTGCACGGCGCTCACCCAACGAGTCTTGCGCTTTTAAGGTGGCGCCGTTCTTGACGAGGAGTCTCACGATCTCCCCGTTGCCCGTGCACACGGCGAACGACAGCACGAACTCTCCTGTCGCCACGCACACCACGGGCGCCCGTTACCAGCGATCGCGTGTGGCGGACGCTGACCTCTCTTGACCTTGCTTGACCTCGGTTGGGTTCACCGCACTCCTACGCTCGTATTAGTGGTGAGGGTGCGGGGGGCGAATCCCACCTTATATGTGTGCCCCCCAGTGCCTTCAAACTAAACCGGGAGTATTACAACTGACACCATGAAAGTCGGAGCGCGGGGGGCTCCCCCAAAGCGCGGGGGCCCGGGGCCGTCGCCCCGATTCGCCGTGTAGCTTTGGGACGGCTCTGACCGTCGTCACGTCGATCCGCTGCTGGATGAACGCCTCCCCCAAAGCCGTCGCCGTATCTCACCCACGTCTGTCTAATTCGACATTTCCGCGGTCTCGGGATGCGACGAGCCGCCTGTCCTCCCAATTGTGGGTTCTCCCCGGGGTTGCTACAACTCCGAAATGCTCTCGGGAAAAAAAAAAAAAACGCTAGACGCGGAAAGCCCAGCGTGGGAAAAATCTGCACGTGGACGATGAAGGGCTGCGAAACCGTGGCCAGTTAAAGGCACGCAGCGCTCGTATGTGATCAGTCGGATCGCGTCTGCACGGCAGCGCTCGACAGAACGGCGGGCAAACATTGATGTGATTTTGGCAGTATCCAAAATGATGAAAAAATAAAAATAGGTTTGACCTATTAATATTTTCAAACACCAAATAGATACCTTTTGAAAGGCATCACGTCTGCATTAACCACAATTGTGGCAAACAGCTCAAGAGATCTGAACACGTGGTCATGTCATTTCGAAACCGCAGACTCAAACGGTGGCCACACGAGCGGTTCTTACGAGCTCAGTGTGTCTGGTCAATAACAGGACAATGGAGCAGGCCGGGAAACAGCAAGTTTTTAAAATAATATCCAGAATAGTGTACACAAAGCACTCGGTCTCGGTGCAATTATGCACCAACAAAAAACAATCAATGGTTCCCGAAGGACTACATTGTGATCCCGTTGTCTTAGGTCACAATACAATAAAAATATAGCAAATATGACCGCCTGACAACAGCAATGCGACAGAGATTGACAATCCATGGAGCGGTTTCGTCCTCATAATGAGTCCTATTAAGAACTGATGAGTCATAATAATAATGGTGAAACCAGTCCATCGTCGTCTAATCTCTATATCAGTGACCCAACACAAGAAGACAACAAAGGAGGTTCTTGTGGAACAGCAGATGGTTTTTACATTAGTGCAAAAAATACTGAGTGCCTTTTGTACGCGCAGTGCACATCTTTGTGTGCTGTCCAATCCCTCCCTGCCTTTGGCTGTCGCTCTGCCGCCAGCCTCGACCTCGTAGGCACCGCGGACGCTCACCGTAGTAGCAGCTGCTGCCGTCAGCCGACGTGAAGCAGGAGCCCGTGGCTCGCGGGGAGTGGAGGTCGGCGCCACAGGAGAGGAGCTCGCGCACCATCTGCACGTCCTGGTTCATCACGGCGATGTGCAGCGCCGTCTGGCCTGCGCCGCCACGGTCAGTCACGCACGGTCAGTCACGCAATGGTCAGTCACGCGCAGGGCACGCACAGTCAGTCACGCACGGTCAGTCACGCAATGGTCAGTCACGCGCAGGGCACGCACAGTCAGTCACGCACGGTCAGTCACGCAATGGTCAGTCACGCGCAGGGCACGCACAGTCAGTCACGCACGATCGTTCACGCGCGCACTGTCGCACCGCACGGCAATCCCGACTCTCACGCTCAGCCCAAGTGAGTTCTCGAGCATGGTTTCTGTTGCTGTTTCACAAATCGACAACATTGAAGTGCCCTCATTGTTTTATCCGGTAAAGTCACGTATGTAGGAATACCATAACATTATATTAAAACAAATCAATCACGACATTTCTACCGCAACACAAGCGATCTTCATCATATTTACCTTCGTGATTTGTTTCTTACGCCTGATGAAGATCGCTTGTGTTGCGGTCGAAACGTCGTGATTGATTTGTTTTAATATGTTATGGTATTCCTACATATGTGACTTTACCGAAAAAAAACAATGAGTAATTTATGCAGTCACGAAAGCTTTAATTCTTTATTAACATTGAAGTGTATTTAAAATATCAATTATTATTTAACTTAATGTACTTTATTATAATAATATTCATTTACACAATTAAAACTATTAGGTTTGCTATTTTAAATGCAGCTTATTTATGTGTTTGATAGTTGAATATGTTAAATACCTGTTGATTTTGCGTGTCCTCGATTATATTATCAAGCGTAACTTATTCATTTTAACAGGTGCAAAAAACGTAACAGTTTTAATTCTTAAAAATTATTTATTGTTGCCGATAATTCAGGATATATAAAACTAGTTCATAAAGCCTGTCTTGGCCAGGCGAAAGTTTTCAATAAATATAATAATTAAACGGATATTAGATTTTTGATTTGCGATCAGACACTAACAACTACTCAAACAATTTGTATTTGTCCACAAAACTAAAATTATTGACATGATTCAGCTTCTTATATTTAAAGACGTATCCATCGGGAACCACTCCACTTAAATATTCCGTTATTTTTTGTGTTATAAAAGAACACAAATATAATACTCTGAGGAGAAGCTCTACTATCTTTTACCATTTCAAATTTGAACAACACAAAATGCGTATTTTTTCGTTCAAACCCGCTTGAATCCTACATATAAAAAATCAATTAAAGAGAGAACAATGGTTCTCACTTAAAGCTTTCGTGATTTTAGGAATTCATATTCGTTTGGTCTTTCGGTAAAGCCACATAGATAGAAAAAAATACAAAAATCAAAATCACGACGTTTCGATCGCAACAAAAGCAATCGTCTTCAGGTGAAAAAGAGGGAAATCTGTTGAGGTAGGCTGTTTATAAAGGTTTAGAGATGGGCGGGGCAGCTAATGTGAGCGAATAGGAGAGAGCGAGTAGGAGAGAGAAATTTGCTTGTAAATGTAAGCTCGGCGAGGGCCAAGCTCGGCTAGGGCCCGGTAATTTGAGAAGTGATAGCAGCAGATGTGAGTGTAAAGGTGATCAGTATTACCTTAGTGTCGCGGCATCTCTTTAGAAAAGTGAGTGACTCGATCAGATGAGCCTTCTTGTCTCGAAGTTTGTTGAAAGATCTTAGAGGCGGTTACAGTAACCGCCTCTAAGGGTAGGGTTTCCAAACAACTATTAGATCTTTCAACAAACTCCGAGACAAGAAGGCTCATCTGATCGAGTCACTCACTTTTCTGAAGAGATGCCACGACACTAAGGTAATACTGATCGTCTTTACACTCACATCTGCTGCTATCACTTCTCAAATTTCCAGGCCCTAGCCGAGCTTGGCCCATGCCGAGCTTACATTTACAAGCAGGGGATCAAATACTTTTTTTTCCCTCACTGTAAATCTTGACTTACAGCTTTCTAAACTGCAGGAAGTCATGTTCATTGGGTCTTTCGGTAAAGCCACGTAGATAGAAAAAATAACAAATGTCTAAATCACGACGTTTCGATCGCAACACAAGCAATCGTCTTCAGGTAAAAAAAAGGGAAATCTGCTGAGGCAGGCAGTTTATAAAGGTTTAGAGATGGGCGGGGCAGCAAATTATGTTGCCGATCATTGACAAAAAACAAATAAAACATTACAACAAATATCATGCCTTACTCCCCCAATTTTACTGCAAACGTGCAACCGACATCGCATCATCATGAGACGAAGAGAGTCCGTTCGGAACCCTCGTAGAGTGGCCCGTGGAATTGGATATCACAGAGCTACCTCCCTAATCATAACTTCGTGATAATTGTGTAATGTGCCATTATTAAATGCCGGGCCTAGTTTCATTGAGCACGTGGTGAACCCTGAGATGGCCTCATTGAATTGAGCACGTGGTTAAGCCTCAGTCAGGCCTAGTTTAATTGAGCACGTGGTTAAGCCTAAGTCAGGCCTAGTTGAATCGAGCACGTGGTTAAGCCTGAAACTGGCCTGGTAATGCATGATGCTGTCAAGTGTTAAACTGTTCATTACATTTAAATGCTTAGCAAATATAGCGATTGATTGACTGATTGATGGAATGGTAACCACCCGTGTGTACTTGGCGAGGATCACGGCCAGAACAAGGAGACACAGTGGGCACGGGTTACGACGTTATGACCCCAGGTCCACACAACATGCTCGTCAATGATACTACGTGGCCTTAAAATGAAAACGAACATCGTGGTAGGTGACTTTTTTGGGCAATGGCCCTTTCTTCAACGCAAATAGAGAGGTCACAGTGGCAGAGTGGCTTCTCTCTGTGTTGAGGTTTTTGTTATTTGTTCTTGTGCACCACGGCCAATGCAGTATCACCAAATACTCTGATTCACACAACACGGGGGCAGAACTTCCGCGCCTGGCCTGCCACCCAGAGTAACGTTTGTCCCTTGACTTGAATGCGGCTTCGGTCATCCTACGGTGAAAATAAGTCAAACTCTTCACATTCAGGGAATGGTCAACTGAAGCAGATAACGCAGAGCTACCTCTGAGATCCCTTTGAGTGACCTCTGCTCTGCAGTGCAGGGGGCTGCACTGCCTCACCCACTTCCCGCACGCTTGCATGAAGTCGCCTCGTGGCATTCCCGGCGGCGCGCGTGCTACGAGTCCCGACATCGCGTGTCCGATGCAACCATGCTACCTTGGTACATGTCAGAGGTGATGGGCTGGTTCAGCAGTGGTGGAATCCTGTGGATGAGCATCATCGCCGCATCCTGGCTGTCGCAGAGGAGCGCCATGTGCAGGGCGGTCTCTCCCAGCTCCCCTGAACGTGCGCACGCACCGTCACAACTCCGCCCAAAATTCAACTGCTTTTCTCTTCCACGTCATCTCCACCCCGCAATTTTTTTTCCTGCCCTGGTGCAGCAGTCAGCGAAGTGGACTGGCAAAACCAGAGGTGGACGGGATTGATTCTATCTCCAGGCACTCCACTTAAATCCCCCTGCCGCTGTCCACCCGGCGATTGATTTCTGATCAGGTTCTACGCCCCCTCCCGTCCTGTCCCTTAACCGACCCGCACTGACCAGCGTGCCAAAGGCCTTTCATCCAGCAGTGGATCGGCATAGAGCTGCGAATGGTGTTGCCGTTCTAAAAACCGTTAAACTATTTTTTGTACTTTACGAGGTAAGGCGCACTGAGCTATATAGCTCTTTTTCAGAAGCGACCTGGCCACAAGTGCAGTTTCTAAATGTGGGAATAACCAGAGAACCTGGAGAAAAATCCATGTGACCACGGGGAGAGAAAACACGCAAACTCCAAATAGACAGCAGGCGTCATCATAGTCGGGATCGAACCCACGACCTCCTGTATACCAGGCGAGGTTGTTAACATCTGGCCACCGTGGCGTCACATTTTGCCTGCGTTGTGGACGTGGGTCGACCAGGCGGTGTGGGAGTCCCTTCCCGTGGCACAGTGTTGTGTTCCCGGCCACGCTGTTGTGCTCATCACAGCTGTGACCTTGGGCCCTCGCGGAACGTACACGTATTTTTGCTGCTGTGTTATTGAACAAACACCAGCCTTGTTTATTGTTGTAACAAACTGGCCCAACCCCTCGGATCCTGGAGGCTTTACGTGTGTATGTGGAGTATGTTCAACTTCGTTGCTAATCGGTGTGGATAGCTAAGCAGGCTTTGAGCCTGGATAGTGCCAGAATGGGTCAAAACCCATGACAGAATGCCATTGGTAGCTGCAATGCTGTGCTGCATTAAGGGCAGCACAGCAACATCTACTGTTGTGCAGTACTTCCATGTCCGATATCTATGCTATTCCCTGACACGCACTGACCGGCGTGGCGAAGGAACATAAAATAACCCCCACAGCTCACGCAGCGTGCGAAGGGCCCATCATCCAGCAGTGGATTGACAAGCGGGTCGAAGTAGGCACGCGAAAGGAATGTGGCCCTGCACTTACCTCTGGCCAAGGGGTTCACCTTCTCGGTGACCAGCAGCCTCTCGATGGCTTTCACGTCGTTGTGCCGAGCCGCCTCCAGCAGCTCATTGTCCTTCGGTCTGCAAAGCGCATTCATGTTGGGTCTCCAACGGGAAGGGTTTTACAGAAAATCACACCTTCAGTCTTTTTCCAACAAATTCATCCCAACTCGTGCTCTTGGCATCACGAGAGGAAGAATCCATTCGGATTGGCGACAGAACGATGAGACCCTCCGAGAGCCAGGGAGTGGCCCACGGAAGCGAACATCACGGAGCTACCTCCGAGATCCCTTCAGTGTTGATCTCTATTCCACACACCCAGTGGCAGCACTTCGTCACCTACATTCTCGGAGGTGGAATATAGCTGAATGAGGTGCAGATCCGAATTTAATGTGGGTGGTTTTTTTTCACTGGTGGCGTAGACCTGGATTCAAACTCAGGGGGCCCCGCAGTGCCGGCCACCCGGCCAACTCTCAAAAAGTCCACTTTCAAAAGAAACGAAAACCTCTAGAGGGAGCATGACCATTCCTCATCGCTAATGCCGGTGGTATATGATGAGTTGTTGCTGCTGCTGCTGTATTAAACTGGGTTCTGAAGTTTAGTGAATTGACGATTGTGCAGAAAAAACAGATCACTTAAAATTTGGTTCTGCACTAAACGTGGCTTAATGCTCAGCCGTCACGCGTGAAGCATTGCTCTCACGTGGCAAGCTGAGCAGCAAAGTGCCGCCCCCTGATATGTGGACCATTTTAAGGGATCTCAGAAGGAGTTCTAGAAACTACAATTCTGTGGGGCACTCTAACACGAAGGCTTGCATTGCCTTCGCGCCACGGTGGCGAGAGGGCGCCACGGTGGCAAGATATTAACTACCTCGCCTGGTATGTAGGAGGTCGTGGGTTCTGATCCTGACCCTGACGATGCCTGTATATATGGAGTCTGAATCTTCTCGTGGTTGCGTAGATTTTCTCCAGGTCCTCTAGTTTTTCCCTGCAGATTTAGAAACACGTGTTGAGAGTATTTGGCCGCTAAACATTTCCACACAATAAGCCACTTTGTTGAGCCATCATTTGTGATAGCCAGGTCGCTTCTGAAAAAGACCTATATAGCTCAGTGGGCCTTACCTGGTAAAATAAAAAAAAATAGTTTAGTTTAACAGTTTAGTTCAGCTCTGCAAGGGATCCCAATGGACACCCCTCATGACACTGACAGCACAATTTGGTTAAGCTTCATGTTGCAGTATGTCATCCAACGGTATGTACATATGTTGAACTTCTTTTGCACCGTACCTAGCCAACCGTGTTAATTGGAGGTGGCTGTGCTGCACGCGGCTGCCTGTATTCAGCACTGTGTTGGCGGCGGCGTTTGGCGGTTCACGCGCACTTGTGAGGCTCCCTCCCTACTCGTGGGCATCTCCTGGCTTGCCAAGATACGACAACAGTACAGCAGGTGGATTAATTTATAATTTGCACGGGGATGTTGCACTCATGGGTTCCTCTCATGTGTATATATGTTCGTTAATTGCATTGGTCAAACATGACAATATAGAACCACATAGCTTGGCCAATTGTTGGCACTGGTCCTGACAGCCTTCTTACCAACTAACAATAGCTATCCATTGTAATTCTTTGACTACATTAACCCACCTCTGGTCTTCGCACCTGATAGGCTCACAGTGATAACGACATCACCTTTACCCCCCTCTGTTTGAGACCGAGAGAGGAGGAATTCTGCAAAATCTGGCTGTCGCCTGATGATGCTGGTTGTTGTAATTACCGGCGAAACATCACGGTACTCGAATTGTAAATGTTGTGGGTTTACTCTCCAACACACCGATGTGCTGTACTACTATACGCAGTGCGCACAGTTAACCGAGGGCAACTGAGGGCAAACAGGTGTGCGTGTGCAACATGAGGTTTGCACGGATAAACCGCCAGTTGTTAAGGGGCGAAGCAGGTGCAAACGGGGTCGACCGGTTGTGCACGTTGAGACCGGAGGTGTTGCCAGGGAGACGGGAGATAAGGGTTGATTGATGGGCCAACAGGCGCAGGCCTGGTGAGAGCTTAAAGAGACACACGAGAGGTCTCAGATAATTAGCAGAGGGATATAAGGGTGTGTGCGTGAGTGGAGAGGGAGTTGTTGCCGAGGACGAAGAGTGAAGACATCTCGCCGCTGCCGGTCCAGCCGTCAATGGGACCTCAACCCTCACGCCGTCACCGGGCGGGTGTTGACTCATCCTCCCGCCCGGGACAGATGGGTGAGCGGGTCTGAGGGAGAGTAGGTGAATGCAGCAGTGGAGATGTATAGTTGCTGTGTGCGGAGACGCTGTGTGCGAAGACGCTGTGTGCAGAGACGCTGTGTGCGAGGATGCTGTGTGCGGAGTCGCTGAGAGCAGAGCTGCTGAGTACAGGATAAGTGAGAGAAGTTAAACATAAGTGACCATATAGATAGTTATAGGAGTGCCTACAACTGGTGCAAGAATAGGTGAATACATTGTAAGCAGGTGACTTGTTACAACGTGTTGGTGTGAGTAATTTTTTAAGACACTACACTAGTAACGACTTGGAATGTTTTGTTAACACGACAAACCTTACTAATTGTCCGTATCGAGCGGTGGCGGGTTGAACGACACATCTACATCTCGCTCTCTTTGTCTCCCGTCTGCGAGTGAACGGGAACTGTGCATCGTGTCCCCTGATGGTGGCCTCTGTGGGCCTCGTGGCCTTACCGCGATGTCATGTTGATGATGCTGTCTGTGCGGCCGCGCATTGGGATCATTGCGGTAAATCTTTGCTGCTTGCCGACGCGTATCCCCTGCACAGAACGTCTGGAACACTGCGAAGCGGAGGGGAAGGGGAAGCTGTAAATAGCCAAACTCCACAGTCGTCCTTGCAATCGTCACCCGCCCTCCCGCCTCCCATCGTCTTCGTAGATCACCGTGTGGCCCTTCACACGGGCGCGTAGCAGCCGGGATTTCGAGAACCTGGGGTCCGTTACGAATCCGGCCACAGGTGGCTCAGCGGCGCAGAGCGAGCAGCTCGCAGTAGCAAGGTTTGCGAGTTCAAATCCTGCTTGAGGGAGGGTTGACTCAACCCATCGTCCCTTTGTGTGGAAGTCAGATGCGTTTCTGCGGCCGTCTGGAACGCTCTTCCTTCCGATATTAGGAAGCCACTGGAGCTGTGCACTTTTAAATTGTCTATATTGAAAGCTTGTTTCTTTAGAACTGCTTTTGTCTTTAGTTTGTTGTCCTTTCCCCGCACCTCCGATTAGCATGGTTGGCTACGCACAGTGTGAAAGAAGTTCACCATACATACATTACCATAACGTCCAACTTACCATAATGACAACATGCATGCATAGAACAGTGGTTGTCTTATGGCTAGACTCGCCGCCACCATAGGAACGTGGTATTTCCGCCACTGACTCAGGGCTGTAATCAGGAGGTACGCACCACCTCGGTGGTTATTTGAGCAGGAAATCAGTCTGACTTTGCAGTCGTAGATCTCTGTGTCGTGACTTCAAGCTGCTAGCAAAATCGGGATATATATTTGGGAAAAGTTAACAGAGTGTTAAATATAAAAACAGTTCCATTCCCATGAGCCGTGGTCTATCCACGAGGCGCCATTGGTGGTGAGATGTTAACTACCTCGCCTGGTATACAAAAAAGCTGCAGTATGTACACAACTGAGCCGCCCGAGTCTTAACAAGATCCTTGCATTGCATGAACATTACTCCTGTCTTATCATCCCTGCCGACATCAAAAATCAACATCTCATACCGGACCCTACCGTCGAACCTCCTGGTTTCAACCATCCACGCCGCCGATGGTCGACCATCGACCAAATCAGGACCGGTCCATGAGGCCGATGCGGGCCACCCGATACCACAAATGACGCCGTCAGATTCGGCGGCCTGCGATTGGAGTGGCCACGAATCCCAAACCGTCGACCGCATCGTGAACACTCCGCTGCTGCTACTGCTGTTTTCACTCCTTTAAAAGAGTGAATAGACGAAATCCACTCTTGCTTCTGGATAACAAAATATAAAATTGTATCTTTATTCTGCTGCTATTAATCCATACGAAAGAATAAGAGGATCACATTTTAGGTCCTGCTACTAACCCACAAGGCTGTGAATGGTCTGGCACCTGCCTACCTCAACACCCTGAATATCTCCCTACATCCTTTCCCACAAGTTGTGCTTCCTAGAAGGTGGATTACACTGTGTAACCATAAAATAATTTGTTCCTGGGTAGGAAGTGTTATTTCCTAATTGCTTATGCATCAAAAGTACAGAAAATGGCTATTATTCCCCACAAACTTTGCTTTTGTGATCAGTACATTGATATTTTGAAATGTACCTATTTTCCAGAACATTCCAGTTGGATTCAGTGCTGAGTAAGCTTGGAATAACTTCAATAACATTCTAGAACTTTCCTGTTTAGTCCCAGCTGCCGAAGTGGATACATATCTGCATTTTTCTAAGATGGCATCAAGAGGCTGCAAGCATCCGGCAGACACATTTTGCTATGTCTGCGGCCAATTTATCAAGACAAGAGTGAAAAAGTACTCTGTGGAAGCATCTGCTAAGATGTGTGAGGCCTACAAGGCATATGTCGGCATACCTGTTGGGGATCAAGACAAACTCTGGGCACCTCATTTCACCTGCGAGCAATTAAAAAAAACTCTGGAAGGTAAGATGGACAATAGTTGTTTGGAATTTTATGTTATAAAATTTGTAAAAAAAAAAAATAATTGTAAAAGTTTAAATTTTCAAATGTTTTACAATTTTCAATGTTATTGAAAAAATATATCACTTATGAAAAATGTTGCGAGAATCTCTTAAACATTAGTCATGGGTGAAATAAATGTATTTTTGTAGTATGGTACAGAGGGGAAAAGAGCCATGAAGTTCGCTATCCCAAGAATTTGGCGAGAACCCACTGACAACTCAAGCAACTGCTACTTCTGCATGGTGGACCCTTGCAAACGTCGGACTGGCAAGAATGCACCTGCTATCAAGTATTCGGACCTTCCTTCATCTGTCACCCCAGTGCCACACTGCCATGAGCTCTCCGTACTCACTCCTCCGGAGAGAGAGCAGGCTTCTTTAGAAGAGAGCAGCAAGTCAGAGACTGAGGAAGACGTAGATCCAGATGACAATTTCAGAAGTGTAGCTGAGGAGAGAAACCCATACTACTCCAACCAAAAAAACCTCAACGACTTGATCAGAGATCTTGGTCTCACTAAGTCCAATGCCGTGCTTTTGACATCTAGGCTCAAGCAGTGGAACTTGTTGGATGAAAGTGTGCAAGTCACAGATCAGAGGAAGTGTCACCAACCTTTTTGCAGCTTCTTCACCTGTCAAGATGGGCTCTGCTTCTGCCACAATGTGACCAGTCTGTTCGAGGCAATCGGAATCGCCTGTAACCAGAATGAGTGGCGCCTCTTCATTGACAGCTCATCCAGGAGCCTCAAAGCCGTGCTGCTCCATAATGGTAACAAGTACCGTCTCTTCTCCTGGCTCACTCGGTGCACCTCTAAGAGGATTACAACAGCATCAAGACCTTGCTGGACGCCTTGAAGTATGATGAGTACGGCTGGGAGGTCATCGGATACTTCAAAATGGTGGCATTCCTGATGGGTCTCCAAGGCGGTTTTACCAAGTTTCCCTGCTCTCTTTGCCTTTGGGACAGCAAGGACACCAAGGCGCATTACCACAGACGGGACTGGTCACAGCGGACCGAGTTCTCTGTGGGGAGGAACAACGTCAAGTGGAAGCCACTGGTGGACTCCCGGAAGGTGCTGATGCCATCACTGCACATCAAATTGGGCCTTATGAAACAATTTGTCAGAGCTGTAGATAAGGAGTCGGCAGCCTTCAAGTACCTTCAAGACTTCTTACCTAAGCTGTCTGAGGCAAAGGTCAAAGCTGGTGTCTTCGTCGGACCACAGATAAAGAAGATCCTGGAGTGCAATGAATTCCCCAAAAAGCTCACTCAGAAGGAGAAAGTGACTTGGAACAGCTTTGTCGCAGTGGTTCGTGGCTTCCTAGGCAATCACAAGGTCGAAAACGATGTGGAGCTGGTTGAGACTCTGTTGAAAAACTACGGCACATTGGGCTGTAGGATGTTCCTCAAAGTCCATATCCTTGATGCTCATCTTGATAAATTCAAGGAGAACATGAGAGCGTACTCGGAGGAGCAAGGCGGGCGCTTCCACCGGGATATACTGGACTTTGAACGCCGCTATCAAGGACAGTATAACAAGAACATTATGGGAGACTACATTTGGGGGCTGATTCGTGAAAGTGATTTACAGTATAATCGTAAATCTCTAAAAACTACTTACAGTACTTGTAAATCTTTTGTAGTCATTGTTGTATTACTTTAGTATAATTACATGTTAATTTGGATTCATATGTTGTTTTTTTCTCACTTTATGTGAACGAAAATATACAAATTCGCTCGTTTTCTCATTGAAAATAGGTAAATTTCAAAAAATCACTGTCCTGGTCACAAAAGCAAAGTTTGTGGGGAATAATAGCCATTTTCTCTACTCTTTAGGCATAAGCAATTACGAAATAACACTACCCAGGAACAAAAATTGCGTTACATAGTGGTACTTGCCATCCCAATCTCCAAGAGGCATACTACACTCACGAGGGAACCGTGGTACATTTTGATGTTATGCACCAAGGCCGTGGAATGATCTTTCCATCCACATCAGAAACTATAACTCCGTCAATTGTTTGAAATACATAAATAAACATGAAATACATAAATAAACATGAAATACATAAATAAACATGTAATACATAAATAAACATGTTTTTTATTCCATGGATTTGTTTGTGATTGATTAGATTTCATATATATCGTGAAAATGTGACCAGTTTTTAGCGCAGTAGCTTACCTGCTGTGGCCCTCTGCGATGAAAAGGCGGCGATGCGGGGTTGACGGCAGCCTCGCCCTGGCCGTTCTCCTGGATCTCCTTGCAGCTCGGGGCAGTGGTGGTGTGGCGGCGGTGGTGGTGCGCGCGGTGTTACGACTGCAGCTGGCTGTTTGTGACGGCGGGCGCCGGTTTTGTCCACCCGCGTGATGCGGTTTGTGGATGAAGACAACAAGATCAGGTGTTTCCATAAACACTGAGCAGATGTGAACCATCAACAGTGCCGACCACCACGGGGATCTCCAGTTGACGAGACTTATATACAGCACCTTCATTTGACCATACTTCACGCTGGGCAGCATGGTTCAGCCCCGCAGCCGCCTATGGCAATGTGGTATGCACGATGGGCGCCCATCAAAGCAGCACTGTCCAGGCTAAGGGTCGCCAATTGTCCACTGCATACCAACCCGGAATTTGTTTCTGAGTGAGCACCGGGTTCTATTATCAACGCCGTGCCATTTACTGCTATAAAATGCGACACAACACCGCAACCAGATCTCAGTACAAATCCATCCCTGCCACACGAACACCCAGATGCCAATTCCCCGATTTTTCCGGAACAAACCCGGCAGTAGCAACGCGCATGTAGGCTCCAACTATCTTAGCTTAGCTTCTAACGTCTGGTGAAATTGGGCACATTGGTCATAGGCCAGGCGACGATGATGACGACAACAGGGCAACACCATCATAATCGTTCCACATCGTCATCAACCGTGGTCTATCCACTGCTGGATGAAGGCGTCCCCATGTGATCACACGCCCCGTAACGCTATGATGCCAGAATAAATTTTTCTCGTGCACAGACTCCACTCCTTCTCGTCAGGGAAGCAACCCACACTCATCTCAATGTTGTCTAAAGAAAAACAAATCCCTCGCATGCTCTGGTTAGGGGCCGTCCATAAATGACGTCACGCGATTTTGGCCGATTTTTGATCCCCCCTCGTCACACGGTGTCACAAAAAGTCAGACCCCCCTCAAATATGACGTCACAAAGCTCTGCCCCCCCCCCAAACCATATTTCCATTTTGAAACTAAAACAGGCTTCAAATCACGTTAAACTATTGTCATTGTAGTGCGTATTTAATGTGGCGCTGCACTCTGATGTTGTAGGAGAAAACATGTATTAAACAGGAGTCGTTGGAAAGCTGAAATTTTGCATAAAATTTACTTGAAAATATTCAACGTCTAACTAAAACTGCAGATGTTCAGAATATTATATTGTAATTCTCTTATAATTATAAAATATTAAAAGTAATAATAACTATTAATAAAATACTTGAAACAATTATAACAATCACATATTCATTCCACAGAATGAAAAGCCCTGGTAGAATAATTAAAATCAAAATGTTGAAAAACAAGAATTCAAAAAATGTTTATAATGTATGCTTCTCCATTCTCCCATGGAGAAGCAAAATGCTCCTTCATGGAATAAATAAAAGGTGACCTTAGTAAATTTAAATAATAAAATAGTTAATAATGAAAATTAATCAAAATTGGTGTTGTTATAACAATTCTACTGTTTATATTTAATTAAAGTTGCGCATTTTGATGTGACAACACATTTCTCAAACCCCCCTCCCCCCTCGTCACACATCGTCACAAATGTCTGACCCTCCTCCCCCTCCCTAGGTGTGTGACGTCATTTACGGATGGCCCCTTAAAGCTGACACAAGCACATCCGCAAGACTGGGGAACTGCAAAGAGCCCACACTTCTAAACATAAAATAAATAAAAGTCTAGTAATTAATTTGTATAGTATCGTTCATGTAAATTGCATCTCACAATAGCTGGGGTACACAATTAGAGCTGGAAGGCTGCCAGGCGATGAGCCGGAGCTAACAATTGCTCTGCAGTTCTCTTTACTTAAGATGTTTTCAGCTAATTAGCGAATGGCTATACATGTGGGAGGAAACCGGAACACCTGGAAAAAACCCACGCATACGAGGGTGCAACACTCTATCCCCGTACAGAAGTGACAGATGATATCAGTTCACACTTTGCTGTACTGCATTCTGCTGGCAATCCAGGGTATGGCATCTCAATGCCCGTGGGAAGGAAATACATTTTGTGATTTGTGAGGCGGCCACGGTGGCAGGATGTTAACTACCTCGCCTGGTATAGAGGAAGTCGTGGGTTCGATCCGGACCCTGACGCCTGTTGTATATTTGGAGTTTGCATCTTATCCCCTAAGTTTTTTCCCTCCACATTTAAAATCAACATGCGCTTAGAGTATTTGGCTGCTATAAATTTCCACACGATGATAAGCCACGTCGTTGAGCTATCATCTGTGGCCAGGTCGTTTTTGAAAAATAGCTGTATTGCTCAGTGGGCCTTACCTGTTAAAATAAAAATTCTTCAATAATTAAATAGTTTTTAATTTGTCCGATCCACCAACCGTCGCCTCCACGGTGCTGGATTACAGGCCACGTGCAAAGCTACCACCGCAGGCGTGCTCGACCGTGGGAGAACTTGGGTTGCCAGATCCAAAACGTAAGAGACAACATCTGCTGACGTGCATGTTGGGGTTCTGCTGCATCTCTTGTGGTGGTTAAGTGTTCCCACATTAAGAGGGCGAGCTGCCTCCGCCGGGAAGGGGCAACACTGACGCTGGCACGGGCAGTCCCAGCAGGCTCTGCAGTGTGGGGTTGTAGAGATGCGATTCGTGCTTTTATTAGCAACATTTAATGAACCCAGCCACACGATTTAATGTTGGCCGATTGAAATGTAACACGAAACAAGCGCACCTACTATCCACACAATGGAACAGCCGGCTGTGCTGCTACACATCTCTCAGAATTCCGGCTCCACAGTCGTTTCAGAAGCTGCGCACCCAAACACATCACGGCAAAACTAACTGCCCTGAGACCCATTGACACCCTCTCATTCGGGAACTTTCGTCGTGCACACATTGTGGAAAGCAGTGGCTAAATCCGACATCTGCAAATAATATTTCCTTGTCTCTATACGCAATGGGTGGGCACAGCGGTGACGCTTGCGCCTCGGAGCGAGAAGGACCTGGGTTCGTATTCCCAACTCGGGCGCCTACCTGTGCGTAGTAAGTCTTTGCCCTGTTCTGCGTGGATCCTCGAGTTCCACGGCTAATGCCAAGCATGCAAATGTAGCTGGCATCGACCAAATGTCCCAATTTTTGATGATTACCTGCAGATTAATCACACAGCAACATCGCCCTCGACCGCGAAAACTTGGCTGGACCCTCCTGAAACAGTCTCAAGACTCGGCGAGGTTTTCTGCGGTAAATAAACATACCGTATTCGTAAAAAAAAAAATGTATTCGCATTCCCCAGAATTCGGAACGATTGAAATGCCAACGTAAGAGCTCATTAGCCGCATATATGTTATCTGATTTTTAGGGTTTGTATTAGTTCCCTCAACTTCCCATCTTCTTTCCCTTTCTCCCCCCTTTCCTCTCTTCCCTTGGTCTTCCTATGTTGGTTATACCCCCACCCCCTCTCCCCATTTTTTAGGTCCCCACTTAGGTTGGGGTAGCGGGGCCCCATCACTCCCCTCCTTGCCTCTCCCTTTCGTGTGTTTCCCGTAGCGCCGGGACAGCAGGTTGTAGATTTTCTCTACCCTGTCGTTGTAACCTCTCGACGTGTTGCATTGAGGCTCGTGTTTTGGTTGTCATAAAACATTTTTAAATACAAAAATCGCATTCCCCTACCCGAAAAGTATGGGGTGTATACTATACGTGTTGTTTTAGCATAACTCTGCATACGATTTCTACACTCGTCTTTTGATTCTGTCTCTGGGCTTGGGCAGGAAGGACGCTTTGTGCCAAATCACGATTCCGTTCTTTCTCGCTTCTGGCCCCCTTAAAACTGAAACAAGCCGCCCCTACACGTCAAGCAATAATCCTCACGGTCTATTTATCGTTCTTCCCTTAAAACACACTCACTGATTTCCCTGGCTTACCCAAACTTCCTCACCCCCCTTCCCCATCGATAACTCTATCCCTCTTGCCAATCTCCCCACCCATTCATCATCCTCACTCATTATTAACTGCTCATTGTCACTTTCATCTTAGTTCGCTTTACTCATGCACTACCGTCCTCAACTCATCTCATCACACTTCTGCTGTACAAATAGTTAATTATTTTCTCAGCGCCTTAGTCAAGGCGCATTGTGAATTAAGATGATGTCAGATGGACGACGACGATGATGGACTTGAAGCCAAAAGAGGGCGTACGTCCCAAGAAGTAGACCAACAGAGAGATGCAACAATTGAGATCATCCCATGTAAACTAAATCTATTTTGTTTATTTTACCAGGAAAGGCTCACTGAGCTGCATAGCTATTTTTCAGAAGCGACCTGACCACAATTGCGAGCTCAGTGAAGTGGCTTATTGCATAGAAATTTATCGCAGCCAAATACTCTATACGCATGTTGACTCTAAATGTGGAGGAAAAAACCGGAGGACCCGGAGAAAAATCCACGCGACCACGGGTAGAACATGCAAACTCTAAATATACAGCATGCATCAGGGTCGGGATCGGACACACGACCTCCTGCATACCAGGCGAGGTAGTTAACATCTTCTAGCCTCCGTGGCGCACGACGTGCAAGAGTGAGGTGGATTACAAGAATGAGGGCCTGGGGGGAGCTTCATTCGACACGGTGATGATGATGGTGATGTAATTAATGACCAAGTACCCAATAGCATTGTGATGTCGCTTGTATTAATGAAGCAGAACAATATCAATCCAGCCAATGCCCTGGGTAAGCTAAAAGTAATTTTAGTATATTTTACTCTCGTCCCATGATAGATAAAAAAAACTAAACTCACGGGCTATTTGCACACGTACTTTTTTTGCTAGCATGCATCACAACGGAATTGTAGTGAGTCCGACTAAGTCGCAGACGTTATCTTAGGAGCAACACTATTTCCACAACGGTACGTAACATAACACAATCTACACTCGGGTCTTGAATGGTCATCTAACGACGCTACGGCAGAACTAGACGCGGTTCGCTATCCCGGTCCGGACCACGAGCTGGGTTCCGGACCCCGTGGCTAGAGGCTTCTCCCCGACGTGGATCTTCGTAACACCAGCACACGAAGAACTTCGAGCTCCTCACGGGGCCCTCGTTATATGCCCCCGGGCTGGGGCTGGCTCTGCCCTTCGCCCCACCCACCTCCTTCTCGAAGGTTCCCAAGAGCTCTTTTGGACCACGTGACCGCCCCGCGGCCCCTGTCCAGCGGTGCCCCCCCCCTCCAGTATCATCCGGTCACGTGTTAGCAGGTCAACCAGAGTATCATGCCCCAAGCTAACCCTGGCTGGCTGACGCTCCCTCTCGCTCCCTCACCGGGAGCCCGCATCGCACACTACTCGCGGTGCCTCCGTGCTAACCAGCGCTCACCCAGCCCCGCCAGGGCTGGTACTACATCCCCTAACCCGGGCTGCCCATAATGACGACACATAACCTGCCGTAGCTTCGTAAGCCCTGGCACCATACAGTGACAAGCACAATCAGTACAGATTTAACAATACAAAGGCGTGCGGCATTACACTTATGGGAAGCTCTCTCTCAGGCTCATCCGACCGTCTGCTCAAGAGATGAGTGGCCATTGGGTCATTTAATTATTTTGAGCTGGTGGTCAGGATAAGCCTGGGAACTTGTGTACATCTCCTATAACCTACAGGACATCTTGAAAAATGGAGCTTTATAGCTCATTCTATTCCTCCAGTATAAATAAATATTCCGATTCTAATTCAATGCCACACACCATGCTAATCTCTTACATTAACATAGCCACCTCCGCGTCTTCCGTCGTGGACGTCGTCCTCCGATCCTACATTAACAGCTAAATTCTTACATTAAAATCACTAGCCCCGCCCACTCTGTTTATGACCCTTGGGCTATACCCTTTATAAACATTTAAAACATCCATAATAGAGGTTTTTGTGTTAGATCGCGTAAATATAAAAATGTGTCGTTAAACCCGCCACCACCCGACACAACCAACTAGTAAGGTTTGTCACGTAAACAGAACATGCCAATTCATCACGAGTACATCACACCGGTGTGTTGGAGACCCAAGCCACAATATTTACAAACTGAGTACGACGTTTCGCCAGTAATTACAACTAGCTTCATCAGGCGACAGCCAGATTCGTGGAGGAGTCTTACTGTTTCGTTCCTTATATAGAGGCGTATATGTGGTGACCACGCTTCTGCGCTCTTGCACAATGTTGGGGGGGGGGGGGGGGGGAGTATTACTGAGGCAACGTATATTATGCATGTGCATTATGCGAGCCCTTTGAACTTGTCCTTCCTGTCTATTGTGTTTATTAAAATAGACCTACCCACGGTAATCCCTATTGAAGTACGCGGCCCTTTGTAGGCATGCATTTAAAGAATGTATTATTTGATTATTTGCTTCCACGCAGCACTAAGGCGGTAGCTATCCGAACGGTTAAAGCTAGTTTGATTTCTTTCAATTTCGATAGATTATCTAATAAGTCTTGGCCAGTCGTAGCTAGTTTTGCACAAAACTTCAACATTATCAAAATCATTTGAGTGACCTTGTTGGCACCCGTGTTCTGCTACTGCTGACAGTTGCATTTGGGATAATTTAATATTTATCTGATGTTATTTTAGTCTCGTGCTGACTATTTGTCCTGTTTGCCCAACATAACATTTACCACACGTGCAGTTAATCCTATACACACCTTCTGTTGATAGCTTCAACAGAAGGTACCAGATATTAGAGTCTGTATTTTACGTACTAACCCAAAAACCTCTGTTATGGATGATATTGGTCGCGAAAGCCTACGTGTTAAATTGCCCTTTAAAACAGTCTGCCTCAGCAGTTTTACTCTTTTCTCCTCCTGATGACGATCGAAACGTTAGTTTTTTATTATTTTCTTTCAACCTATCTACGTGACTTCACCGAAAGACCAAAAGAATATTAATTCCTGCGGTCACGAAAGCTTTAAGTCAAGATTTAAACACCTTTTTGTGTTTTGATTTAAAGCTTTCGTGACTGCAGTAATTCATATTCTTAGTTCTTTCGGTAAAGTCCCTTCAACGTGACTTTACCGAAAGAACTAAGAATACCTTTTTGTGTTGTTAAATCTGTTTTTTGCCCTCCACGCGTGTTTCTGTTGTGACGGGCCTTTCTCGTCATTTGAATTATTGCATCACACTACCCTCCGCTCCCTCCTGCGAGTGTTTTCAGGCGGCACGCAGTGGGGTCAGCAGGGGTCGTGGTGAGTGGCGTCTGCAGAAACGGGGCTCAGTTGTCACAGGGGATGTGGTGTGCGTGCCGTGGTTGGGCCCGGGAACTCTTGGTGTCATTTCAGAAATCTAAAATCACGACCAAAATCATCTCCAATGCCGCACAACTCTTTGTGCTGTTCATTGTTTAAATCGCATTCGAATGAGAGTCGGCAGGTCACAAGACAACCCTGACACGTGCGGCTGCGGTGAGACACGGACCATGCAGCATCTCTCGGTGTGTCAGCTCCTGCAGGAGCCGTGCACGCGGACGACCTCGCCAGGGCTAGAGACTGGGCCACGGCATCATGAGCCGTGGTCTATCCACGGGGCGTCACGGTGGCGAGATGTTAACTACCTCGTCGGTATACAGGAGGGCGTGTTTCGATTTAAAGCTTTCGCGACTGCAGGGATTCATCTTCTTGGTTCTTTCGGTAAAGTCACGTAGAATGGAAATCTCAAGGTTATGTGGAATCCCTCCCCGTAGAGGCGGTTAAATTTCGATTAAAAGCTTTCCATTCTACGTGACATTACCGAAAGAACCAAGAAGATGAATCCCTGCAGTCACGAAAGCTTTAAATCGAAATTTAACCGCCTCTACGGGGAGGGATTCCACGTAACTTGAGATTTCCATTCTATGTGACTTTACCGAAAAAAACAAGAAGAGGAGGGCGTGTGTTCGCTCCTGACCCTGACGCCTGTTGTATATTTGGAGTTTGCATGTCTCTCCTCCCGTGGTCGCATGGATTTTTCCCTTGGTCCTCCGGTTTTTTCCTCAACATTTACATACGTGCGTTAAGAGTATTTGGCTGCAATACATTTCGATATGATACGCCACTTCGTTGCGCTATCATTTGTGGCCAGGTCGCTTCTGAAAAAAGAGCTACATAGCTCAGTGGGCCTTACCTGGTAAAGTAAAAATGTTTACATAGTTTTTAATTTTTACCCACTGCTGGTCACATCACCATGTGCCTAGATACCGTATAAACATACGACTGTGGTGACAGCAGCAGTGCATGCGACGATGGAGGTGTGTGCTCTGCGGTGAACAAATATTATCCGCGGCCAATCACAATCGCCTCTTGCGGGCTCGGTTCACGGACTCGACATAAAGCAGGCGCGAGTTGAATGGGGCCTGTTACGGGAGCTGGGGTTGGCGTTCAGGGCTGAGATTTGACCACGGAAATTTTTAGAGCAGCCGTGAACATGGCTGATGGTAAATGCCATCGCAGCAGCAGCAGCACGATAGTCCTCGCGTGCTGCTCGGCGAGAGCTGTAAGCAATGAAGTCGCAAAGGCTCCTTCAGGTTGCATGCCGCCTGCAAGGAGAAACGTTTCGGGGAACGCTGCCGACGGGGATTGCAGCGATAAGCCTGTGGCGACGGTCCGCCTGTCGTGCGGCAATAGGACGTCCACGCGAGTTTATCCGTACACCATGCTACTGCTGTCGCTAGATGGCTAGTGCTGTTCGAGAGTAGCACCGATCAAGGCCGGTACGGCACACGAGGGGGTGGGTGGCCAACGCCACGCCCGGCCACCTTTGTCTACTTAGTGGCGATGTTTTACACACCTCGTTTGTGGCTGAGTCGGCCTAGGAGAAAACTGTTCAGATAATCGTCACTGTTTTGGCCGTGATCGGGAATCGAACCTAGGTTCGCTAGGTTCGTACTGCAGCACATCCACTGCTACGCTACCGCTATCACACACATACACAACCACAAAGGTAAAAAAGCTTCGTTTGGGTAAACGTTTCTTCCCAGCATGTCTATTGTTTATTGCGTAGAAACCACGTGTAACATTAATTTTCATGCATGCAAAGAGTTAACAAAAGTGGCAGTCGTAGCATTTCCAGTCGTCACGACAGCACGTGATCCAGAGCTATTTCTGATTTAATTGAGTATTTTGCTGAGTACAGTGGGGTCATTCGGTTAACGATATTGGTTCCACGAAAATCATCCTTAATTGAAATTATCGTGAATCGAGAGCACTTTCGCGATTTTCAATAATTTCCTGCTTAATTTGCAAACTAATTGTTTTCAGTAAAAAAAAACACTAAGTATGTAAGAGAGCTGTTTACATAAGCAACGCACGTAAAATATTGAAAAGCTAGCAGCCAGTTGCTCTCAAAACGCTCATAAAAGGGCAGGTCGCTGATTGGCTGAGGTCTGCTGCCTATTCCACTTAGGAAGTTCCGATGGGCCGAAACTGCAAGGAACCGCGTGACGTCGTAAACATATCGTTAATCGAAAAAGTATCGTTAATAGAAACAATGGGAGGCGGATCGATAATCAAAACATCGTTAATCAATGGCATCGTAACTCGAGGGACCACTCCGCTTGTTTCTTCCAGGAAACTCTTGCCGAGTCTCAAGGCGCTTGCATTTGCAGCGGTCCTGCCAAGGTTTCGCAGCAGGGCAGCGACGTTGTTGTAATTACAATTGAGCCATTTGCAGGTAATATTTCAGCCTTAGAATGTTTGGCCAATACCGGTGGCAAATTGTGTGGATTTTTTAAATATATTTTTTGCTATGGGAGGAAACTGGAGAAACCCACGCAGAGCAGGGGGAGAGCCAGAAACGCCACGCTGAGAGGCTCCCGAGTTGAGACTCGAACCCAGGTATTTGTCGCTCTGAGGCGATGAGTGTTAACCACTGCGACAACCCTGCCGCCCTTGTTAATCGGTGAGAACCCAGCGCAGCAGAATACGCAATAACGAGACGATTCCCTTGAGGACCGTGCGTTGTTTTATTTGATTAGCCTTGCTGGGATGCAGCAATCGTGGTGGTTTAGGGCACCGTGCGATAACCCCAGAAAGCCGAGTCCGAATTCTGCCTCCTGCTAACATCAGTGGCGAGTTCATCTGCTGCCTGTGTGAGTTCCATGATGGACAGTAAACGTTTTGCTCAGTAAGCGCCTTAAGCGCAAGAGCAGTGAGGCTGGACGTCTGGAAAAAGAGCTTCACAGCTCATCGGATTCCTCGAGTATTAATAAATATTCTAATTCTGTTGTCTTGATGTTGCTCTCAGATTTCCTATGTGAAAAAGTATGACTTTATAATTTGCGATTTTACTTCTAATATGTTGCATTTAAATATTGCATTATTTCATTAAAACCTTAAATTACAAAAAAAGTTAGAAATAATAAGCTTATCACAACCACATATTTAAAGTGTCTGTCAACAACAAAAAATTGCAAGCATTTTTCATATAAAAGCATTACAAGTTTAACTAGGGATCTGGTTTAAAAATATTAGAACCATGCAGCGGGGAGCAGTTCACTTCACTACGAACCCAGGAAATCCAGGTTACGACTGACCTCCACGGCGAGTGATAACTGATCTGGTCTTGTAACGCCCCTACCCCCACCAGTTTACCAACCCGCACTGACCGGCATGGTGAAGTATGGTCAAAAAACCCCCATGACTGACACTGCATGGGAAGTTCGGTCTTCCAGCAGTGGATTGACAAAAGGCTGTAAATTGGAATTCCTTTGGAGGCACGAAGATAAGTTTTGTGACAAAGTCAAAAGTAGTTTCACTCTTCAAGGAGCATTGGGGTGGCACTTGTCTCCATTTTTGGCCCTGAGCCACTGGTGGGAATTCCACATTCCCGTGGCTGGAGACCGGTCTATCCAGAGAACAACCACTGTAGACTTCCATCGTCTACAGTGTGATGATGGACTAAACATTTATAGAATATGCAACTTAATGCAAAATGGTAAAAAAACTTAATTAATTAACACAAAACAGGATTGCAAACAGGTGGAAAGTGAAGCGCAACCGAGAGGTAACGAGCGATACATTAGCGCCCGAGATGCAGTTTTGAAGCGAAACGTTGCCGCCTATCCCCCTGCCAAGCCAGACGTACCCCAGGGAAACTGCAGTAAATCCTCACGTTATGCGTGGCGGTGTTCATACTATCACGCGTTTCGCGATGACGTGGTTCCTCGAATCGGGAACACTTTGCGGAATGGGGAATGCACACCGTCGTTATAACAGGGAACGCTCCGGTCGTTATAACGGGGACTGGTCCCGTTGTAATGGGGAACTCTCCCATCGTTATAATGGAGGACACGCCTATTGTTATAACGGGGAATGTGCCTGTCGTTATAACGGGGAACGCTCCCGTCGTTATAATGGGGAATGCGCCCGTCGTTACACACCGTCATTATAGCTGAGAACGCACACCATTGTAATAACGGGGAACGTACACCGTCGTTATAGCGGGGAACGCACACCATGTTAATAAAGGGGAACGTACACCGTCGTTATAATGGAGAACGCACACCATCATTATAGCGCGGAATGCTCCCATTATAACGGGGAATGCCCACCGTGGTTATAACTCGGTTTCTGAGCGGTTAATGATGAACTACTTTCTTGAGCTGCGCCACTGAGCCGTGGCAATACAGTTCGCGGAGTGATACAGTAACGTGGCAGCGCACCCTTGGCTATTCCCTTCTCTCACTGCGTGTGCGTCGCAGTAGTATTTGTACATCGTATTTCGCAAAAAAAACTTTATCCGCGTATTATTAATGGGGGAAATTGTTTTGCGCTTAACGCGTTTTTCGCCTCACCACTCGCACGTTAAACGAGGACTTATGCCGGACTGCTTTTCCTGCAATGCATCCAACGGGGGGGCAGGGGGGGGGTGCGGCTGCTGGGGACCTGCGTCCCGGCCGATCTAGTCCATGCTCCCACTGTGCTTGGCCACAGTCGGCTGGTTTTGCATTTTGTGAAGCTGGCTGAATTTGTTGGCGAAGTTCTTGTGCACGATGTTCCAGTTCTTGGTCGTCGATGACATCTTGCGCTTGGCCGGAGACTCGCCTCTCCCGCCGTCGTCGTCGTCGTCCCGTGCGCAATTCCTCTTCGGCGACATTTCCTTCCTCTCCTCAATCCTGCAACGGAGAGATCGCCCGGCCGTGAGTCCGCACGTCGCGACATCGAGCGATCGTTCCCATTGCGCCACATATCGCAGTGGGTAATATGATGTTCAGGCCCTTAACCCATATATTGAATTCGCCAGTCAAGAAGCCACCATACCAGTTAAATGGTAAAACTGCTTTGGTTCGCCCCCTCCACAAAGGAGGATCTTCAGATGACCCTAACAATTATCGGCCGATACCAATTTATCACCACCGATTAAACTATTTGAAAGATCATTAAATACCCAAATAAGTACTTAATTTCTGAAAATAAGCTGTTGCATTCCAAACAATCAGACTTCTGTAAAAAAAAAACACGGCAGAACTACCGCTGTCAGACTCCCTAAACTTTGTTTTCAATAATCTAGAGAGCAAACAATACCGTGCCTGACTACTCCTGGATTTCTCTAAAGCATCTGACAACATAGACCACAGCATCTTACTAAATAGACTTAGAAGCGTGCGCGATTCACCGAGCACCTAACTGCAAAAAATCAAATAACATCCACTGGTAACCTGGTGTCAAGCATAATGGGAATTACTAAGGGTCTACCTCAAGGTTCCATTCTTGGACCTATCTTGTTTCTACATATATATCAACGACTTGGGTACACAAATGGCACATTCTACTATTAACACCTTTGCGGATGATGACACCGTTTTGATGGTTGCTGCCCACTCCCCTGAAGATGTGTACAGGAAATTTCAAAGCGATTTTAATACAATTCATCAACATATCTCACTAAAGCTGGTTCTGAATGTCAATAAATTTAAAGTTATTTATTTATCTCTAGGAAAAATAAAACCAGCACTTTTTTCCCGAAGCTGTGCACGCTGGACAACAAACAAATTGATCAGGTTGATACAATAATTTACCTTGGGGTCATTATAGACACTAAACTCACTTTCCAGGAACACATTGAACACACTGGGAGGAATGCAAATTTTAAAACTAGCTTTCTTTACAGACATAAACGTTGCTTACCAGCTAAGTTTCGGTTAGAGTTGGTAAGGCCTACCTTACTACCATTATTTGGTTACTGTGACGTGTACCAATCTGCCTCCAATACCACACTGAATAGATCATTCCCACTTTTCATTCTGCTCTAAGATTTGCTCTGGATGCCCCTTACAATATCCATCATTGCGACTTGTACGAAAAAACTAAATTAACATCGCTCCACGATCGCAGACCGATTCACCAGGCTTTGTTTATCAACAATATCCTTAGCGGTAATTCGGAATAATATTTGTTGGATCAGTTGGCACGACGGGAGGGCAGACCTCCTAACCTTTGGAGTTCAACAGTACAACATTACTTCTTCTTTGGTTCTTTCGGTAAAGTCACGTAGAATGAGAATAAAATAAAAAATTGATAAAATAAAATAACACAATAATATTCTAAGTGCCTCGGTGAATGTGTATGCTCTGACTTCAACGTAACTATTTCTGTAGCAGTTACAAGCGAATGCCTTAATTTAGCTATTTCAATGCTAAATTCTATGCTAATTCCTTTTAACAATGGGTGCCTCTGCGGATGTGTATGCTTTAACTTTGAACATAGCTATTTCTGTGACCAGTCACAAGCTAATCATTCAGCCTTTTCAATGCTAAATTTTATGCTAATTCCTTCGTCAAGGCTCTTTGTTCCTCTCACACAGCTTAAAAGCCGTGATCTGAACGTGGCTCTCTCACTCCAGCGCTGTCCTACCAGACAGTCTCGCTCCCTTCACCTGATGAAGGCCGCTTGTGTTGTGGCCGAAACGTCGTGAGAATATTATTGTGTTATTTTATTTTATCAATTTATTATTTTATTCTCATTCTACGTGACTTTACCGAAAGAACCAAAGAAGATGAATCATTGCAGTCACGAAAGCTTTAAATCGAAACATTACTTCTGTTGAACGTTCCCTAATATAAATCAAGTTTTGGTGAACGAGCGTTTTCGGTGGCTGCCCCCTGGACTGCGGAACAACATTGCCACAAAACTTGGTCTGCAGTGACTGTCGGCAGTCGCTAACTTCAAATCACTAATTTCAAGTGAATTCCGTCCTAGTCGCAAATTTACAAAGAGTTAGAGAACATACAAATATTAATTGCTCGTAAGCGACCACTGTATGTGCGTTGCTTACACTACGTTTGTTAGATGGATGCTGCGCTTTTTATTCCTACATTCAATGCCGTCGTATTTTAGGCCGTAACAGCATTACAATTAATATGGCCGATTTAAATTAGTATTTTTTTTATAGATAAATGTGCTATTTGATAACAACCAATATTTAATATATATTTTTGAAAACGATCATTTTTATATTGCGTTTATGATTTGCTATTTCTTTTTTATTTCCCTTATCTGCTATTGTTTATTATTGATGTATTTTTACTGTGACCTTGTTGCATTTGTCGGAGAAGTGGCGGTGTTGTTCTTTGTTGATGAAATCCGGTTTAAGAGCTTCTTGGCTCAAAATAAACTACTACGACTGTCTGTGCCACGTCGGCTCAAAGGGCGTGGGGGTCATTTGTGTTTTCGTTTGTTTGTCCTTCCCCCCCGCACCTCCGATTAAGCACGGTTGGCTACGTATGGTGCGAAAGAAGTTAAACAACATACAACATACATACAGCCAAAATTGTAAAACTTCTCCGGAGGGAGGCAGAACTATTTCACTATTAAACTCTCTTTTTCAGAAGCGACCTGGCAATCACAAATGCTTGCTCAACGATGTGAGTTATCACGTGGATATTTATGGCAGCCAAATATTCCAAACGCATGTTGATTCTAAATGTGGAGGGAAAAACCGGAAGACTTAGAGATAACTTCACGAGACCATGGGGAGAGAAAGAGAGAGACATGCAACCTTCAAATATACAGCAAGCGTCAGGGTCGGGATCGAACTCACAGCCTCCTGTATACCAGGCGAGGTAGTTAACATCTCCTAGACACCGAAATAAACTTCCCTGCGCCATGAACCCGCTGACACAAGTTCGATTCCTGGTCACGGCTAACGTCGGTGGTGAGTGATATCTGAACCGGTCTTGGCCCCTTAACTGGGGCTTTACCGATCTGCAATGACGAGGGTGGTGATGTGTGGGCCAAAGCACACCCCACAGGCCACACAGCATGGTGAAGCCTTAGTCAGCAATGAGTTGACAAAAAAGGGGCTGTACGTTATTTTATTATGTTTTAAACAACGATAAGACTAAAAAGGGCAAGACAAAATTATCAAGAGGCAGCCCACCTAGATCTCAGCAACATCGACATCGCAAGGTCAGGAGTGCCGACAGCTAACAATGGTTGCTGAATCTTAGGGTAATTATTCACATTTGTAGTCATACTTAATTAATTTAGCTAGTTTCCTGTGTGTTTTGTATATCTTCACACTTCCTTAAGGAGAGGGATCTCACCGGATGTACCACCGATCCCCGTCCAGACCCAGCTCCCGGCCCGGTATCCCCGATCGCATCCACAGCCACCGTGGCACCCGAGACTCCAGCAGCACCGTCGTGGCAGCGATCTAAGTCACACCAGAGGATCCGTTCGTCTCGCATCGATCAACGCCGACTCAGATTGATGAACGACTGCGGGCACAGACCCGCGTATTTGGACGCACCTGGAAACCTTCACTCGGCAAACCACCAGCAGTGTAGTAGACCAGAGGTAGGCAACCTACAGCCCGTGGGCCCGTGGCCACATGAGGCCTACACCACGTTTAAATGGTCCCTAAAAACGACATTCATCTATCACTGCGAGCATTTTATCGGATACCAGATGTCAACGTCTGCGACCTGGCGGCACTGCATTCCTCACGTTTGCTCATTCGCTCACTTGAACCACTGCCAGGGCCCTCTCCACCCCCACTCCTCCGCTACAGCTGGCCGACATGCCCGGCAAATTTGTCACGACATTATCGGATGACTCTTAAGGGCTGCGCGGTTGAGCAGTTAACCTCTCGCATGCTTTGGCCAACACACCACGACTGCTGCTGCAGGCACCTTCACGAGATGCGTGGTGGCTTAAGGCGGCTCTGTGATTGTGTGACTATGTTGCCGTGTGACCCAGGATGCGCTCTTGTTTGGCCCTCTGTTGGTTGGGGGAAAGACAAAATGTTCTACATCCCACCCCCCCCCCCCCGGGCCGCCAGACACGGCCCCCTCATAGCAGCCCCCCACCCCCCCACAGGAGCCTCCCGTCCCCCCGGATGAATGCGCGAGTGACCTGCGCCTTCCACAGCTCCACGCGCTCGTTGGCGACGCGGAAGTGCGTGTCGCCCATCATGGCGATGAGCAGGTTGAGCAGCAGCAGGTAGGCGAACATCATGTAGGCCAGGTAGAGCACGATGATGATGGCGGGGAGGTTCATGTTGTTGGGGATGGGCAGGTCCTTGAGGCCCATCATGAGCTGGCTGAGCGTGAAGAGCGTTGTCGGGTAGTTGCGAAAGTAGATGAAGATGTTTGAGTCGAGGGAGTCAAAGGCCACATGGAACGCTGCCGGGGGGCGACAAGCGGGAGGGAAGAGAGGCGCGCCAGCCACGAACGCCGCCATACAAAGGGGGGACTTTCGACACGGCCGGGCATCGGAGCCGGCGCTTATCCCCTTGAGCCAGCGGTGGAAGATCCGTTTAACACATCGTAGTGGTAGGGCTTTCGCGACCAACATTATCCATAAGAGGTTTTTTTGTGTTGCATCTTGTAAATATGAATGTATCGTTAAACCCACCACCACTCGACACAGCAAATTAGTAAGGTTTGTCACTAGTTTAACACTGGAGAGTTGGAGAGTATACCCACAACAATTACATTATTTACGCGATCTAACCCCCACCTTCCACACGGAGGGTGGGGGGGGGATGAGTTTATCCATGGGACACCCGCTGCCAACTTCGCCACAAAGTGGTCCTCATTTTATCTACCCCCAGAAGGGGGATAGGTTGAGCTTACCCCCAACCAGGATTTGAAATCGCAACCTTTCGATTGCGAGCCTCTCGCTCTGCCGCTGAGCCGCATGGCTGCGTGTTACGTGGAGCTCTATTATGACCGGTGCAAACTCCTCTAGGTGTTATGGGCATAATGCGCAATACTCGCAACAGGGCTTGCATGCAGTCACGCTTGAATTCTTATACAGGACACATTTCTGTGTGCTGAGAGAAACAAGCCCTCGGTAAGAGGTTTGTTTATATTTTTGAACCAACGTTTCAAATGGCCCAGCATTACCCCGGAGCTAAGCATGGGTGAGTCTCGACAGTGCCTGCATGAGCGACCGCCACATACAACACGTGTCACGGGCTGCGGTCCTACACTACGGGCAGAAAACAAATACATCGCACTGTCCCTATGTTACAATGCCTACACTCCCCGCCAACCTACACTGGCTTATGGCTGGCCATCGAACAAAGATACAACAACAACAACCGCCATTCGCCACTAAGTGGCGGTGACGTCACCACAACGCTTGTGCCAGGCCATGTGCGACTTGAGGCCACGTGAAGTGTCGAACGCCCGCTGGCAGGAGGTCACGGGGCAGACCCAGGTGCCACGGGTCGACTGACTGAGATGGCTGGCTGATGCACCACCTGTGCCCCCTACTGTGCCAACCTGCTGTGCTTTTGCCATCCGGCGCTCCGCTCTTTGTTGTGAGCGTCGCTCCGCCCTCCGTTGTTGTTGGATGGCGACTACCTCTAACTTGATCAGTAGCGTCCTTCACGAGCCTCCTCCACAGAGGCCGATCTTGACACCGCTGGTACCAATCATCGGCAAGTCCACTCAGCTCCACGTCCTCCTGTACCACATCACTCCATCTCCTCTCTAGCCCGTGCCGCGCCTGTTTAGCCCCCTCGATCCGGCTGAACAAAAGCTGTTTCGGCATGCGGTGGCTGGGCATGCGGGCTACACCCAGCCAACGCAGCCTTGCCTGCCAGAGGAGCTCACCGATGGGACCTTGCCCAGATCTTTCAAGGATTTGTGAGCTCCTCACACAATCCAGCCTGGTTAAACCCAGGATGGATCGTAGGCAGGCTAGCCTAAATGTTTCTAACCGGCGAAGATGTTCCATTATGGGGGTCCACGTTTCGCAAGCGTAAACAAGGGAGGGAATGACCGTGGCTGAAAAGACCTGAAGCTTAGTGCGGAGCGACAGACCAGGTAGCTTCCACACAGCGTTACGCAACCGATGAAAATATATTGCCGCTCGACTGATTTGGAGTGAGACCTCTGCTGTTAAACTGGAGCCGGTCATAAGCACACTGCCCAGGTATGGGAAACTCTCCACTCTCTCCACAAGTGCCCCATCACCGATTGGGAGTTGTGGGGGTGAAGTGTCCAATGGTATAAAATACCCAGGCAGGTGCTTAGTTTTGGTGGGGCTGATGGTAAGGCCCCATCTCTTAGTGGCATGCTCCAGTCTCAGCAGCAGCGTCTCCAACTCCTCCTCTGAATAAGCAGCTATTACAAAATCATCGGCATACATAACGTGGGTAAAATAAAATAACTAAATTAAATCACGACGTTTCGGAGGCAACACAAGCTTCTGTCTTCAGGTGGAACAGACACAACAAAGTTCGCTGTATCAAGTGAACAGCTCTGGGACACCCGAGCTTATATACAGGTTAAGGGGAGGGGGGGGGGGAGTAGCCAGGAAGGGACGTGGGTGGGGAGGGGAGGGCTAAGTTAAGCTGCCTTTTGTTATGCTGCAGGGGGTTCGGGCGGAGCGGTGGTGCACTGCACAAAAGCGGGCAAAACCCCCTTTTGTTATGCTGCAGGGGGTTCGGGGGGAGCGATGGCGTGCTGCACGAGAGCAAGAACCATCCTGGTAGAAACAGAAACAGCTGTACAATTATCAGCCAGCTAACGTTTGACTTGGTTGATGACATATTTCCAAAAGTTGCTCAATTTGAAACCATTCTCTCGGTTGAAGTTGTGTCTATGTTTGTATATCTGGATGGCTTCATGGACAAATCTTTGGTAATAACCGGGAGGTTTGCATAGTACTTTGGTATCGGAGAAAATAATGTCATGAGAACCCGCTGTGTTGAAACAATGATCAGCCACGGCCGAAGAATTCGTTCTGCCGTGTTTCAAATCTGATTTGTGCTCGCGAATTCAGTTAGAAATATGTCGTTTCGTCTCCCCGATATAGCAGCAGGGTACTGTAAGTCAGGAATTACATCCTTTACGGATGGGATCAGATCTCGGATTTTGTGTACTGTATTGAACCGGACCTGGATTTTGTGTTTGTTCTAAACACCCGAACCCCCTGCAGCATAACAAAAGGCGGCTTAACTTAGCCCTCCCCTCCCCACCCACGTCCCTTCCTGGCTCCTCCCCCCCCCCCCCCCTTAACCTGTATATAAGCTCGGGTGTCCCAGAGCTGTTCACTTGATACAGCGAACTTTGTTGTGTCTGTTCCACCTGAAGACGGAAGCTTGTGTTGCCTCCGAAACGTAATTTAATTTAGTTGTTTTCTTTTCTTTTTATTTTATTTTACCTACGTGACTTTACCGAAAAAAACAAAGAGTATGAATCCTTGCAGTCACGAAAGCTTCAAATCTAGGAATACATAACGTGGTTGAGCAATAGGGAGCCATCCCTTGACCGCATCAGGGCATTGATCAGCCTCTCATTATATCTGTACCATATGGAGATTCCCCCGGTACAGCTATTGAAGGCTTCACGAACTACGTGGTCAAAATAGATGTTAAATAATGTGGGAGCCAGAGGACATCCCTGTAGCACCCCAAGGTGTACAGGGAATGGCTCTGACTCCCGGCCACGTAGTTTTACCCGGGCCCGCTCACCATCATAAAGGTCCTTAATGATCGTGAGCAGAGGGTCAGGGACTCCAACAACACGAAGAACAACCCAGAGCCCAGGCCTAATGATGGTATCATAGGCCTTGACCAGGTCAATAAAGCAGATATGTATGTCTTGCTTGAATTCCCTGCACCTCTGCTGTAGCAGACGGACAGAAAATATGGCATCTGTGCAGGACCGCCCTTTCCTGAAACCGCATTGGGGCTCCGCAAGCCTCTCCTCAGCGTGCCTGGCAAGGCGATGTTGAATAATCCTTGCCAGGACCTTTCCCGGCACACTGAGGAGTGAGATGCCCCTGTAGTTGTTACAGTCTGTGCGGTCCCCCTTCTTAAAGAGGGGGACCACCAGGGCATCCTTCCAATCCTGCGGAACTCATCCATTGGTCCAGACTGTTGTTATGATGTCATATAGGGCGGTCTGTGCACAAACGCCACCCTCCCTCAGCATGTCGCTTGGGAGATCATCTCTGCCCGCTGCCGTTCCTGGTCTCAGACTCCGGATCGCCTTCAGTACATCCTCAACAGATGGCACCTCAGCCAGCCACTCATAGGGGGTGACTTCTTCCAATATTTGAGGCACCGCAGCCTCAGCAGGGTCATCCCTACATTGTGCCACGATGTTTTCCTGGCTGAGGGATTTTCCCTCCCCCAGGACCTCACAGAAATGCTTAGCAAATCTGCAAACCTGTTTCTGGGGGTCAGAGATCGAACAAAGATGGTCACCGCATCACGTGCATTCTATTGCGCTTCTGTGGCCGTCTGGAACGCTCTTCCTTCCAATATTGGGAAGCCACTGGAGCTATGCACTTTTTAATCTAGATTTAAAACTCATTTCTTTAGAACTGTTTTTTGTATTTAGTTTGTTGTCCTTGCCCCATACCTGCGATTAGTGCAGTTGGCAACGTACGGTGCGAAATAAATTCAACATATGGTACATACATACAACCCGTGGTGAAGTACGCTCAAATAACTCCTAGGAGCCGCACGGCATGGGGAGGCCGCTCATCCAGCACTGGAGTGATGAACACCTGCACGTGTGTCCACGTGCGAGCCACGTTCCCATATCCGCGCGCAACCTTTGGTTTTGGTGTTCAAGCGGCGGGTGGAACACGACGCACGAGGGCCTTGTGCATGTAAAGGAAACCGATGCCGTCCGGCAGAGGTTCCGGGTGCCGAACAAACGCCGCCCCGCAACAGAATTCACGCTACCTACCGGCGGAGAATCCCAGCAGGACGATGATGAGGAACATGATGAAGCGAAGGAGATCGCCGAAGAGCATCTGTCATGGTGAAGCACAGCAAGGTTTAGGGTTCAACAAACACGCATAACGGTGAAGCACAGTGGGGATTTATGTAGTGCCTACGTGAGGTCGCAACTTCAAGGTGCTGCACAGGAGTCTTGAGTCTGAATGTATGTAGAACTTATTTCACACCGTACGTAGCCAACTATGCTAATCGGAGGAATGGGGGAAGGACAAGTTGTAGTTATAGAGACAGAGGCTGTCAATCACAGGCGGAGGAGGAGATGGCGAATGTCTCGAGCCTGGACTTGAACAGGGGCAGGCTGCCGACAGCAAGGCTGGATTATGGACCGGGCCAGTGGGACCAGTGCACCCGGGGCCTCGGACTGCCAAGGGGCCTCCAAGCCTCAGGCCGCACGTAGTGCGTGTCCCAAGACTTCCGAAGGAAGTTGAACGCCAGTGCCCTCAGTGCGCACAGTGCAAGTGAACTATTTGTCTTTTGTCAACGTGACACATTTTTTACTAATTGGCCGTGTCGGGTAGTGGAGGGTTGCGACAAATGTATAAAAAATGCTATTCCTATATCTTGTTACTGGCAAAGGAGGTCTCATAATGTAAATGCTCACCCCGAGCCCTCAATACTCTGATAGTGCGCTGTTTTTGAGTTGTACGCCTTTTGGCGTCTTCTGGTCCAACACCAATGGAGACTAGGCTCTAAGAAAAGCCGTCTCGGGTGTGGGCCAATCAAATTCAACGATAGTGCATATTATCAGAGTTGTCTTTTTTTTTTGCATTTTGACTGTTTGTGTTGTGGTTATTGCAAACATGATGCCTTGAATAAAGGTGTCAGTTTTTTTTGTGCCAGTTAAAAGGGTAAAACCTATTCCTAACGCTATCTAACCAAAAAAACTGTAATATTAATAATACTGGTCGCGAAAGCCTACATGTTAAAGTAATGTCATAGTGGAAAAGGTAAATGTACTCTGCGCTGCATATCCATCAGACCGGGACATGAACTTTGCCAATGAACGCATCCAATTCAAGTTTGTTATGTCTGACTCTGAGGGTGCCCAACTAAATTTCTTGAGACTTTGCAGGCACTTAATCTGCAGTCTGTGTTCCCACAATATTTTCGTGGCACTTCGGATTTTTCTAACATTGCCAGTGACAAACTGCCAGGGTGAGCGGACATTTTCCCTTTTAGGCAGAATAAAAAATTAGCTGCGGAGTAGCATATGCCAAACACGTCTCAGCTCATTGTCACTTATGTCAGCTAGATTTTGACGATCTAGTGGATGATTTTGCGAGGAGGAAGGCAAGAAAGACACCAATATAGGAAAGTGGAGGGGGGCCTCCAAAAGACATGTGCCCAGGGGCCTCATGGGACCATGATCCGGCCCTGGCCGACAGCACGGGTGGCTGGGGGGAGTTCCAGAACACGGTGGGGGGTGGGGAGCAGCATAAGACAATGAGCCACCTTCCTCTGAGTGAAGATCGCCTCAATACACGGAGGTGCGAGGAGGGGTAAAGCATGCAATGCCTCTATGGAGGGGGGTTTTGATGGCCTACTCCTGCAAACAGAGGTCAACTCTCCTGGTAATAGCTTATCAGAGTCGTGTCTGTGCTAACATGCTAATGTGTAGGGGAGTGAAGCGGTTGGCCCACTGTGTTACAAACCCGGCGACCCGAGTTCGATTCCCACTCACGGCCAACACCAGTAACGAATATGTGAACTTGTCCTGGGCCTCCCCTAGGTCGACTCAGTCTCAAATGAGGACCTGATACAGAGTGTAAACATTGCCACTAGGGAGACGAAGGCGCCCCGGCATGATGCTGACCACCCACCCCCTCATGTGCCGTGCTGGCCTTTGTAAGTGCTACTCACTAACAGCACTTGCCCCAACAGTCTGTTAAGGCTTTATGGGGGATCTTTGTTCTGTTTTTGTGGGAACCAAATTAACATAGCAACTAGATTAGAAGAGTGTAGTCTTTGGGACAAGGCAATGTTCCTTTCTGCCGATGCGAAAGCTACCTAGAATGCACCGTATCATGCCAGACCTCACAAACTAAGCAGATATCGAGCCTGGCTAGCGATTGGATGGGCGTCCCACCGCGCGTAGCAGGCGCCATATGCTAGAGACCAAAGGGCTGCGTGGTGGACAGTGGGGACTCGTGAAAAAAAGCCATTGTTGGACTGCACATATATGCACCCGCCTCGAGGTTCGTCCACCTTTACCGTACGGCGGGAACGGCTTCACAACCCGTGCGGTGTCGGTCCACTGCTGCGGAGGCCCTCGTCCAGCAGTGGATTGACAAAGCGGCTGCATATGTACGAGGTCGGGATCCACCAGAGCCAAAGCCGTTGATTTCATTAAGCGAACGTTACCACGGTGCGGTGGTTGGCAGACGGAACGATTCAACGGGTGTGGCTCTACTACTGCAGCGCTTGTGAGTGCGATTGGCCTCCGAGAGGCTCCTCTGTCTTTAGTGATCAGTAGATTATTCAGGGTTTGTACATATATACATACATATACACATATATGTGTGTATATATGCATATACAATTCGCATATATATGCATGGTAAGGCCTTTATTATCGTTGGGGATGCATCCCTGGAAAAAAAGTGTCGGAAGGCGAAATGTTTAATTGAAACCTATTTTACCGTCGACTTATCGATATAAATTTAAGATCCATAAGAGTTTTTTTTGGGTTAGATCGCGTAAATATAAATGTGCCGTTAAACCCGCCGCCACCCGACACAGCCAGTTAGCAAGGTTTGTAACGTAAATAAAACATGGTAATTAGTAACTAGTTCAGCACACCGGTGTGTCAAGGAGTAAACCCACAACGTTTACAATTCGAGTACCGTGACGTTTCGCCAGAAATTACAACAACCAGCATCATCAGGCGACAGCCAGAGTTGTGGAGAAAACCTGTTTCGTTCTTAAATAGAGGGATAATTGTGACGTGAGCCAATCAGGTGTGAAGACTAGAGGGGGGGGGGGTAAATGTATTCGTATACATTACAATGGATATCTATTCTTGGTTGGGATATTCACGGTTAATCAGCATACATAATGTACATTATGCATGTATACTAAATTAACTCAAAATAAGATAATGAAAGATACCCAATAAGATATTATATAACGGGTGTTTTTTTATATACTGTAGAGTATTCACCATAAATGTCGGTGGATATTGTATTTAGAGAGGGTAGCAGTAAAGTTCACAGTATGATGGCAAATAGGAATAGGTTTTACCCTTTCTTGCAATAAAACAGGAGGTTTTAAGATGTTCAAACAACAATTAAGGAATCAAGTTTGCATTAACCACACGTACTTGTGGTGAACATGCAAACAAACATGCTCCGATAATATATGCATTGTCTTTGAAACTGATTGGCCTACAACTTCTTTTTAGCCTTGTCTCTCCACCAGTGTTAGACCAGAGAACGCTAAAGGTGAACAGTACAATGGTAACGCAAGTATCAGAACACTCTGGCAATAGGTTTTGCCACAAGTATGTTTGGTTAATGCAGACGTAATGCATTGCAGAAGGTATCTATTTGGTGTTTCAAAATCTTAACACCTGTTTTATTACCAGAAAGGGTAAAACATATTCTTATTTTTCATACTTTGATACTGCCAAGAAGGTCCCATGATAGAGGACCTCTGACACAACACTCGCATCCTGTTTGGTGACCGAGCGAATGGGAAGTAACGTTCCACCGACCTTCTGAATCATGATGGTGAAGGGGCCCAGCATGGAGAAGCCGCGGGCAAAGTACATGATGTTGCACCATCCCAGAATGAGCGCAATCGACATGAAGATCACCTCCACGTCGTTGGTTAGCACCCGCAGCACCACAATCACCAGCACTAGGACGCCGTAGCTCATCCTGCTCACATCGAGGAGTAAAAACTCTCCAGTAGCAGTGTGTGACTGCGGTCATCCAGAACAGACTGTACAACAAGGAGACATCACGGCGATAATACACTCCACTGCTCCTGATGCGGTTGACCACCTGAATGTGAAATTGTAGGACTCGGAGAAAAATCCACGTGACCATGGGGAGAGACACACAAACTCCATACAACAAGGAGACATCACAGAGTGATTAACTCTGCCACGGGGGTCCACGATCTGGTGGATATCTAAGCCAGTTCCCAGGTCTGGATATAAAGGAGGAGGGTTCGGGCAAAATGGTGCTTATACTTCGGCCGTGAAGAAAATAAGATGAACGTAATCAAATGCACATGACGACGTAAGAGATTGGTGCCGGAGAGATGTGGCACTTCTACTTGAGCATATTGGCACTACGAGACAGAGAAGAAAGTGGAAACAAATGACGAAATGTGCAGTGGACACATGGATGGTGATAATGAAAGAGCGATTAAGTTAGATATCTTTAATTTGCTAGAGACGTTGGGAGAGATATTTACGGGAATTTCCTGGAAATTAAAGTAGTTGCCTAGTGCCACCCAACATCACAGTCCTAAGCCACAAGGATACAGGGCCTCGCCGAACGCGCAACACAAGGGACGAGATCGAGGACGTGGCGCATGTTGGACCGAGGCTTGGGGGCGTCTGTCATGGTGGGGGGTTGGCCATACTTCACCACGCTGGTCAGTGCGGGCTGTACGTATGTATGCATGTTGAACTTCTTACGCACCGTGCATAGCCAATCGCGCTAATCGGAGGTACAGGGGAAGGACAGCAGACTAAACACAAAAACAGCAGCTTTTAAAGAAATGCGTTTTCAATCTAGACGATTTAAAAGTGCATAGGTCCCAGTGGCTTCCTGATTTCGGCAAGTAGATTTACTATCACAGGTGGTGGGGGCCCTGTGTTTGTAAACAGCCGGGGCCAATTCAGAACGTCCTGCAGCAGCTGGATCACATTGCTTTCACGGAGAGTGCCGCTGTTGAGAGGGACAAAGTGGATTTTACACCAACAAATCAGATGACAAAGAATTCAAAACTGTCAGTGACGTTAAAAACCCTCATCACAGCAGAAGCTGGAGTCATTTTTGAGCCGGTCCGAGCCTGAGCAAAGAGAACCAAACAGAAATCCCAGCAAAGACAACCGCATTGCAGATTAAATGAGAAACAGTCCATGAGCATGCTGTGTAATCTTTGAAATTAATCAGCTGCAATGAAAGTCGGTTTGGACAAATTCAGTTTTAAAAACTTTATGTTAAGTTTAAGATTGGGATGGCTACATTTTCTGTTTGAGTTGGTGGACACAAAGGCAACGTGGCCACGCATTCAGTATTTTTTAGCAGCTGGTCTGGACAAGGCTGTGAGCTTTTGTACACGCCAACGCTGCACACCTCCGTGTGTTGTTACCATCGATCTGGTGGAAGTGAATTGGGGTCGTTCAAGCGAATCTCGCACAGCTAAAGTACGCATGTCAAGGTTACTACGACAGATTTGAGGCCCGAGTAAAAAGTCCACTTTTATATGTGATCAGTCGTCCAGTACGGAATCATATACACGACTGATACAGGACAGAGGCGCTGCTCACACACACACTGACGTTACGTGATGCAGAGTAGCTGCTGTGCGTCAAGTCCGCGAGCATGTTTTGTGTGGAGATGGGGCCCTCGTGCTCAGGCCTACGCCACGCAAAAACCAAAGCACTCACATGATTGCGTGGAAGGGTCCTCCTGTCACCGTATTCCCAAAGTATTTTTTTGGACCGTTTTTCATCAGGTAGAGGATCTGGAATATACAAAGCAACACCCGTACCAAAAACATCACGTTCATGCACATAGGTGTGTAGTGTAATAGCGCCGGCTGGTGGATGGCAGCGACAACTGTGGTGGACAGACAGCACACACGCTGTCTGTGTGCACGGTGTGTTAGCAGAGTGGAGAAACTAGGGCAAGGGTCACGGAGGACCCCATCTGGAGGCCCCTGGAACCTGCCAGTGGGTTCGAGAAGGGAGGTGCGATCATGGCGGAGCCAGGCCACGCTGGTAGCATAAAAGGAGCTGAGAGCGGGAGCTCGAGGCGGCCGGTTCTGGGAGTGAACTCGTCTTCTCGTCGCTGTCGTCGCTCACATCTTTTATTGCGCTACGAAGGATAGTAGTTGGCTATCTCAGTCAGCGCCGTCAGTGTTTTAGACGGCTAGTGTTGTGTACAGGCTAGGCTAAGCTACTGTGGAGAGTGTGTGGACGAGACCGTGGAAGTTGGTAATAAAGAAGGTGCCTCCTATAAACTCTGTCTCTGAATCGTTGACACTACAGATGCATATATACACAGGTATTTTATATTTTTAGTGGATCGACAACCTATGAGCACAAATGGCATATTTTAACATCTCATGCCAGATAATTAATTAATTCACACTTTTGTCCTGAATGTGCTAATGGTTTCATTGCATTTGTATTAAGAGAATGGCTCACGAGAAATGATTTGTCACGTGACCTTTGATGCGCACAGTAAGGGGCAGCACTCTCTCACCCGCCCACCCTACTGGGCGGGACAGCAAGATGGCTTCAGCGTGTGTAGCAGCTTGAGTTCTGCGTGAGTGTAAACTATACGTGAGAATGTGTGAGAATGTGAGTGAGAATGAGCTGTGTGTGAGCTGCATGTGTGTGTGAGTGAGCCGTGTGTTTGAGTGAGCCGTGTGTGTGAGGGTGAACCGCGTGTGAGGGTGAGCCGTGTGAGAGAGACGTGATTATAATACTTGTGTGTTGTAAGGGTCATTGTTAGTGGGTGGTATTTTTGTGGTTGCGGCAAATTGATTATCCAGTAGTGCTTTCCTACTGTGGTGTAACGGTGTCGCTTATTTTGTGTTTTGGTGGTTAGTGAGCATTTTCCCGGCGGGCGTAACTAGGTAAGGCCGTAGGCTTTCAGTTACCGTTAGGCCTCGGCAAGGTAAGGTAATTTACCTTTTTTACCAGGTAAAGGTGTCGACATGCAAAGGGGTAAGGTAAAGGGTAGGGTAAAGGTAGCTCGGAAGAATTACCCGGTAGGGTAAAGGTAGCGCGAAGTATTACCCGGTAAATACGGTGCCTTGTTTACCGCTAAAAGCTCCGTGGCACAGTCCGTGACCTCCATTTAATAAGTAATATTAAAAAAAAAATTAAAACACGCCTTTATGAAATATACTAGTAATGGCAGAACTCCACGACTCCAGGAAGTGGACCCAAGCTTGCCATAACGTAAGGGGCCGTGGCCAATTACAGCCAACGTCAGTTGAGCGTGAACAGTTCGACCCAAGCCGAAACATAACATATAAAAAAGAATGTTTTTATTTTTTTAATTTTATTTTTAATGATAGAATATAGTATTGTCATAAGTATGACATATGTATACCAAGTTTGCAGTCGATACCACATTGGGAAGTGGGTAAAAATTGAGTTACAACAGAGTGAGTTAAAAGAAAGCGTGTACAATTGGAATAATTGAGAGTATTCTATATGAATAAAGCGCTCTACCTAGCATTTACCTGCATGTGTAGTAGTACCCCAGTAATTACCCTGTAATCGGGTAATTTGTATGGGGTAAGGGTAAAAGGTCGGGTAAAGGTAGGCTCGTTGCTTTTAACCTTTTACCTTACCTGCTGAAGGGTAAAAGGTAGAGTAGAGTGATTGTATTGTGGTAAGGTAAAAGGTAGGGTAAAGGTAGGCTCGTTGTTTTTACCTTTTACCTTACCTTGCCGAGGCCTAGTTACCGTAACGGCCTCGTGCTTTACCGGATAAGGTGAGCTTTCCCCGGCGGGAAAAACTAGGTAAGACCATAGGCTTCCATTTACTGTAGCGGCCTAGTGCGTGCTCCATCCACTGGTGCCCTGACGGAAAGCCGTGCTCTCTCAACTGCTGCCCTGAGGGAGAGCCGTGCTCCGTCCACTGCTGCCTTGAGGGAGAGACGCGCTCTATCCACTGCTGCCCTGAGGCAAAGCCGTGCTCTGTCCACTGCTGCCCTGAGGCAAAGTCGTGCTCTCTCTGCTGCTGCCCTGAGGGAGAGCCGTGCTCTCTCCACTGCTGCCCTGAGGCAGGGCCGTGCCCGATCCACTGCTGCCCGGAGGGAGCCCCGTGCTCTCCACTACTGGCTTGAGGGAGAGCCGCGCTATCTCCACCGCTTCCGTGTCGTGGGCGCTGCCCCAGAGCAAGGAGGCGCTGCTGCAGTCGTTTAACAAGCTGCTCAAGGACGACGTTCGCTCCATCCTGGAAAACTTCACGAAGGTCGTCAAAATGGCCAAGGGTCGTGAATGAAGAGTCCCCTGTGTGGCCTTCAGTGGGGCCGTCTGGTCAGGCAGCAGAGACATGAGAGGCCAAGAAACGACATTCCAGTCATGGACTGTGCTTAAGGAGGGCTAGGTCGAGCACCATCCTGCGGCGGGGAAAGGAGGCGGTGCAAGCATTTTCAGCCGAGCCGACAACAGCCAAGAATCTGCTGTCCCTATCTGGGGGGGCTGTTCAACCCTAGCACATGGACAAGAAGCCGTGCATGTGTGACAAGTGCGGCAAGACATTTATCTCGCGCTCGGCCTACAAATATATAATAAAGTATTAAAGCTTTCGTGACTGCATAAAATTACTCATTGGTTTTTTCGGTAAAGTCGCGTTTGTAGAAATACAATAAAATTATATTTAAAAAAACAATCACAACGTTTCGATCACAACGCAAGCGATCTTCATCAGGTGTCAAGAACAAATCACGGAGGTAAATACAACAAAAAGATGAGAGACGAGAATTCAATAAACCTGAAAAAACATTATGTGAAGCACATCCAGTCAGGCCAACAACACAGTTAGACACTTCCTGGCGGACCACGAATTTCATAAGAGTGTTAAATTTCGTATTCAACCTTTGGATTGCACATACCAGCATAGATAGAATGAAAAATACGAGGTACACGGTCGGTAGAAATACATATACAAGTCCACCAATAGGTAAGGAGGGAGGAAAGACGGACAGGGAGGCAGAGAGAGAGGGGGGGGGGGGGGGGTGCTGGAGGGATGAACAGAAGCTTAAATAGGAAATAGGGTTGGAGGCGGGGGAGGGGTCAGAGCGAGAGCGGCAGCTCAAACACGCACATCTTACACATACAAAACGGCAGCTCAAAAAAGGACCACCTGTAAATACAAAACGGCAGCTCAAAAAATGACCACCTCTTGTAAATACAAAACGGCAGCTCAAAAAGGGCACATCTTACACATAATTACAACGGTAACTTCCCCGTAGAAGTGTGATAATAAAGTATTAAAGCTTTCGTGACTGCATAAAATTACTCATTGGTTTTTTCGGTAAAGTCACGTTTGTAGAAATACAATAAAATTATATTAAAACAAAAAACAATCACAACGTTTCGATCACAACGCAAGCGATCTTCATCAGGTGTCAAGAACAAATCACGGAGGTGAATACAACAAAAAGATGAGAGACGAGAATTCAACAAACCTGAAAAAACATTATGTGAAGCACATCCAGTCAGGCCAACAACACAGTTAGACACTTCCTGGCGGACCACGAATTTCAGAAGAGTGTTAAATTTCGTGTTCAATCTTTGGATTGCACATACCAGCATAGATAGAATGAAAAATACGAGGTACACGGTCGGTAGAAATACATATACAAGTCCACCAAGAGGTAAGGAGGGAGGAAAGACGGACAGGGAGGCAGAGAGAGAGGGGGGGGATGAACAGAAGCTTAAATAGGAAATACGGTTGGAGGGGGGCAGGGGCCAAAGCGAGAGCGGCAGCTCAAACACGCACATCTTACACATACAAAACGGCAGCTCAAAAAAGGACCACCTCTTGTAAATACAAAACGGCAGCTCAAAAAATTACCACCTCTTGTAAATACAAAACGGCAGCTCAAAAAGGGCACATCTTACACATAATTACAATGGTAACTTCCCCGTAGAAGTGTGATAATAAAGTATTAAAGCTGCCGTTTTGTATGTGTAAGATGTGCGTGTTTGAGCTGCCGCTCTCGCTCTGGCCCCTCCCCCCCTCCAACCGTATTTCCTATTTAAGCTTCTGTTCATCCCTCCAGCACCCCCCCCCCACCTCTCTCTCTGCCTCCCTGTCCATCTTTCCTCCCTCCTTACCTCTTGGTGGACTTTTATATGTATTTATACCGACCGTGTACCTCGTATTTTTCATTCTATCTATGCTGGTATGTGCAATCCAAAGGTTGAACACGAAATTTAACACTCTTCTGAAATTCGTGGCCCGCCAGGAAGTGTCTAACTGTGTTGTTGGCCTGACTGGATGTGCTTCACATAATGTTTTTTCAGGTTTGTTGAATTCTCGTCTCTCATCTTTTTGTTGTATTCACCTCCGTGATTTGTTCTTGACACCTGATGAAGATCGCTTGCGTTGTGATCGAAACGTCGTGATTTTTTTTGGTTTAATATAATTTTATTGTATTTCTACAAACATGACTCTACAAATATGTTTTTTTCTATTCCGCTTGTGTGTTAATCTGTGTATACCCCGGATATTTTAAAGATGGCAATTCTCCTGCTGTGTATCATACTGCTGTCCTTCCCGGCCATATCTAGTGCCACACTCAACTCTACAAACGGCTACCCTCGTTAATTTGCGCCCATACTTGTTGTTCGATTTGCCACTACACCTGCAAATGAAACAGCTCATAGACACTTCTACACTCCATCATTGTATCCTTTTAAACCCTATCTTTGTCCCATTACTTCACCAGTACTCCTTCCAAACTTCATTCTGCTCTTAAAAATAATACCATCTG